GACTAGCCTGGACCACATAGTGTTAATCAATTCTGTTTTCTAAAATTTCTTGACTCCATTCTTACAGGAAATGACATATTTTATAGGTTTACAGTAACTCTTGGGATTATCTGTGTTTTCCAATTCTCTCCATTGTCCTAGTTTCTGCCCCCAATTTCATTAGAACTGAATTTTCCCAAGCTCACCAATGCCTTTCTTGGGGTGGGGGCTGGTGAGGTGGCTTAGCCACTGGTCACTAAGCTTGATGGCCTGTTTGACACCCAGAACCCACATGGAGGGAAAAAGAGCCAACTCCTAAAAGCTGCTCTCTGGCTCTCTCTAAATGAACTGCTTCTTCATCTGAGCCTAGGACACCAGGGTCCAGCTTCTCCCCCCACCCTCCTGGCCGTCCCTTCCACCTCTTTCTGGTTCCGACTCACCCTGGCCACACGTGCCGTACTCTCCTAGGCTGACTCACTCACCCTCCGGCTTTCTCCATCTGATGTCTAGCAAGCACCCTGAACTTTAATGGATGACAGACTCAGTCCTGCTCTCGCTCCCTCATACGAGAACTTGCCAGTCTTTCCCACTTCAGTGGCCATTTGAGTCTTCCAAGGTGCCCGGTTCAAATACCTTGGTGTTGAGTGACATTAATAAAATGTTCTATGCTCCCATCCCCCAACAGAAGCATCGGAAACCAAGCAGAAACCGTGAGAAGCAGCCTTGTCAGAGTTCTGGAAAACAGAGTTACAGCAGTAGTCGAATACTCAGTAAAGACAGAAGTGACCTCACAACTTCAGGGCACTTACCAGGAACTGGGGGAGGCAGGGAAGGGAAGCCACTGTGCAAACGAGACAGATTCAGCTGGGTTGATGGAAACACCCAGTGATGGACAGCGGTGACGGTGGTGGCTCAACACTCAAGGCACTAAAGACCACCACGTTACATTCTTAAGACAGTTAAAATGGTAACTCCAGCTTATGTCTATTTTGCCACGAGGGCAGGGGGACTGATAGCACTTTATGACACTGCCCATCTCATGTCCCCACTGTGGGACCCTGGTCCCCAGCTCTAGAAGCAGGATAGAGATGCCAGGCACGCTCACCTTTAGTTGACAGTGTCCTACAACACCGAGGACAGCTCACAGGTGCCGAGGGTAACAAGGTAGATCACCCTGAGCCCGAGGCAGACATTCAAAAAGCACTTCTTGAAGAGGGAATTTGAAAACGCTCGTCCCAGAAGACCTGAAACTGTCACCTCGGGTAGGTCCCTAGGATCTGTGGAAGTCTGGGTAAGGCTGAAGAGCCAGATGAGAGAAGCAAACTGTAAAGATTTTTGTCTGCTCAGCTCCTGGGATCCACGAAAATCTTTCAAATATTAGTTGAACACCAGCTAGGAACAAGATTTCAGTAACCACCCGCGAGGAAGAAAACACTCCATGGGAAGTACAGGAAAAAGCACTACGCAAATGGACTGCTACAATTTTCAATAGCTACCCCGAAAACCCGGGCTGAGTCTGCGTGCCTCTCAGCAGAGAGCAGGCAAAGCTCTGTGAGTTTGGGCCAACCTGGTCTACACAGTGAGTCCCAGGCCAGCTAGGACTATAGAGAGAGACCCTGTCTCTAAAATGGGAAGGCTTAAAAGACATTAATTTACATGATCTAAAAGACAAAAGTATAAAGATGATTATAAAGCTATGTTATTGGGCACATAAAAATATACGTTGTGACAACACAGAGAGGAGCTATAAAAAAACCACAGGTTTGGAAGGTAAGTTCGTATCAACTCAAACTGAATTGCTACATACTTAGAACATTCAATATAATTCCCACAGTAACCACAAAGGAAATATTTAAATATCCTAGAAAAGTTTCTCAGTGGGTAAAGGTACTTCCCTCTAGGCTTACACCGTGAGTTTAGTCCATGGCTTCCATGCGCGTGGTGAAGGGGGAAGAGTCTTTGTAAGTTGTCCTCTGACCTCCACAGGTGCACCATGGCACAGGCACCTCCCTCCCTCGACAAATAAATGTGATTTTTTAAAAGCTTAAAAAAAAATCCTTAAGATGTATACCAAAAAAATGAGTGAGGAACGAGGACAGTTCCCAGGAAACAAGAGGAAGCCAGGAAGCAAAAGAGGACATAAGACAACTGAAAACCAAACCAAATGGCAGAAGCCATTCCTCGTTGGTAATCCATTAGGCACAGAGTTAAAAAGAGCTGGGGTCCAAATGTAGCTTAGGGGTGGAGCACTTGTTCAGCATGCCCAAGGGTCCTGGGTTTGATGCTCACGGAGGAGGGGAGACAGGAACTTCAGAACAGATTTGAAAACCACGATCTAATTAATATACACTCGACATACGGTCCATCTGCGACCCAGCAGACTGTAAAGAAAAACAGAAACAAATAGTACATATAACCAAAAGAGAATCGGGATGGCTAGAACACGGCATGAAACAAACGGACTAATGTTTCAGGAGACAAAGGACAATGTATAAGTTATAAATGTATAAATGAGCATGAAGATATAACAATTATTAGTGGATATGTGGCAAGCAACATTGTATGGTACTAGTCACCAAAATGAGTCAATATTTACAGAATCAAAAGAAAATATTCCACAATAATGGAGAGTTGTGGAGATATCAATAAACACTTTCAATAAGAAACAAAGAGCTGGGCATGGTAGCACATGTCTTTAATCCCAGAACTTGGGAAGCAGAGCCAGGCAGATTTCTACGAGTTGGAGACCAACCTGGTCTACACAGTGAGTTCCAGGACAGCCACTCCAAAGAAAAACTGAAGACTAGATGTTATCATTGGTGATGTCTATCAACTAATTAAAGAATCAACATTAATCCTTCTCAAAAATCCTGTTCCAAAAAAACTACCTTCCTAACTCATTTTGATGAAGCTCAATTACCCTATAAAAGTTAAATAAAGACATCAAAGTTATAGATCAACCGCTGTTAGGAATACAGATGCAGAATTCTTCAACAAAACATTCATAAACTCAGTTCAACGTCACTATAACCAACTGGGATCTAACCAGGAACCCAAAGATGGCTCCACGTAAGAAAATCAGCATACTACACAATAGAGCAAAGCAGAGAAAAATCTATCACCTCCATTGATAAAAAAGCAGACACCACCCTTTCAAGATGCAAACACTCAGAAACAGGAACCCAGTTCTCTTCTGAGCTTCCCTTTCTCCTCATTCATTCTCCTTACTAGTGTTTGAAGCCTCGGAGCACACACCTCGTGACTCTCTTAGACTCCTCCACCTGGCGAGCTCTCACGTCATCCAGGTTTTTGCAAGTCACTTTCTCAAAGAAGTTCTCTTTGTTTAAACTTCCATTCACACACCTTGGGACTTCTCCCTTCCTATATTTGTTTTATTATCACCCAAATGTTACGTAATGTTAAATCTATGCTTAAAACCTAAGACAGACACAGGATGCTATGCAATTTTAAAATGTATATTTAAGTGATACATTCTTCTGGATTTCATTTACTACACATACTTGGGAGGTGAAGCTCAGGGCTCTGTGCAATCGAGGCAAGCCCTCTACCAACTTGAGTTAGAGATGAATCTCATCACCTCTAAGTAGCCTTCAGAGACAGCTGACAATCACTTTTAATTTATGGACTTAAACATGAGACAAAGAAATAACGCTATCAGTTTCAGCAAAGCACATCTGGAGATGGATCCATCCACGTTATCATCATCATTCCACAGAAGAAACCTCTAGAGGGCCTGGGTTCACTTCCCGGAGCTCACATGGTGGCTTGCAAGTCTCTGTAACTCCAGTCCCAGGTGCATGTGCACGGTGCACCAGATACATATAGATAAAACACTCACATGTGTAAAATAAAGGGATGTGCATGGGGGGACCTGGGGTGTGGTCAAAGAATATTATATACTTAGATGAAAATGTTCCTAAGAAAGCTAGTGCTGGGGCTGAGGAGAAAGGTCAGTAAAATGCTTGCTACACAGACATGAAAACCGGCACTCACTCCAAGAGCCGGGCCGTAACTGTGTTTTTTGTTTTTATTTTTCGAGACAGGGTTTCTCCGTAGCTTTTGGTTCCTGTCCTGGAACTAGCTCCTGTAGACCAGGCTGGCCTCGAACTCACAGAGATCCACCTGCCTCTGCCTCCCGAGTGCTGGGATTAAAGGCGTGCGCCACCACCGCCCGGCCATAACTGCGTCTTTAACCCCAGCACCAGGGAAGCGGAGACAGGCAGCTCCTGGGACTGTAGACTGCCAATCTAGACTAGCCAGCTAGCTCCAGATCCCTGCTTCAGAAAATAAGGTGGGGGCCAGTCTCAGTGGGTAGAGCCACCTGCTGCCAGGCCTGGCTGCCTGAGTCAGATTCCCAGGACCTAGATGGTAGGAGAGCCGACTCCCACAAGCTGCCCTCCAGACATGTAACATACATAGACATAATAAATACACATATACACATAAATAAAATACATAAAATGTAATTTTTTTTAAAAAAAAAAAAACAAGAACCAGGAAAATGGCTTCTGAGCAACAACCTCAAGGTTGATCTCTGCCCTCCACATACACAGACAAAACCACAAATACACACACTGAATATGTGCCAACGAGAGAGAGAGAGAGAGAGAGAGAGAGAGAGAGAGGACCCCAGAATCATTCCTGCTTCCTCTCCCCTTCCTTCACAAGCAGGAAGCCCTGTTTGTAAGCTCCAGATGGGTAGGATTTTCCATTTGCTCACTGCAGTATCCTTGGTGGTTAGAGCCATACCTGGCACTGAAAAGGGAATGAATATTAGCTCATAAATTCATGCTCTAGTTGAAATTAGAACTATTAAAAGAAAAATAATTAATTCGTGTGTGTGTGTGTGTGTGTGTACACATGTGACTTTTTAAATGTAGACTTATTTGGCATTTCAGTTGCTGGAACACAGTAAGAATAAATTCTCAGAGGGACACTGGTATGCTATGCTCACAGACGATATGAAACATAACTTGTTCAAGTTTGCTCTTCTTTCCTGATCCACGTGAATTCAAAAGGCATTTTATTTTATAAAAACTTACACCTGTAAGCAATGGATTGACTATAACAGAGGGTTGAACCTGGAATACACGGATGCTCTTGGGAGCCCACAAGCCCCGAAAATTGTATGCAAAATCTAACGTGTGTACTGGCATGTGCATGTTTTTGGTGACTGAGTTCATAGTTTAGTCACATTCTTAAAGATGCCTATGACCCGAGAGAGGTTAGATTCTGTCTCAGCTAGAAACAGCCACAGTGGCTGAAACCAATCTGTACAATAATATGCTACCCAACAGCTCCATCACCTGGCAGAAGAGCAGGCGTGTCTCAGGGACGGATGCCCTCGCTCTGGTGTGAGTCATTCACTGCGGCTTCCACAGCCTCTGCTTCCCAGGTGGAGACGCGAAGATGAGGAGGCAGTTGGTAACTTCGACTTACAGTACTTCAGCACCAAAATAACCTGGGCAGTTACGCTGATAAATGTATATACAGTTCAACATCTGTCAGTCTTAAAATGCTTATTTATAGTGAAATTCATATAAAACCGTTAAAAACTTTTCTATTTACACTTTTTAAAAATGAAAAGTATAGTTTCTTTTTCCACAGCTTGTCAAAATTCTTTCCCTCCCATCCCTTACCCTTCACTCAACTTGTGATAGACAGCAATCACAAGACCAAAAAACAGCACGTAAACAAACTGCTCCCTAGAAAAGTAAAAACTTAAAAACATTACATTTAGATCTGCGAGTGAACTTTTCCATACACTTTCAAAGGGGCTTAAACAAAAGTAGTAAAAGTTGTTCTCAAAGTCTCAGTCCAACATGGGTGTGCAACTTGGGTGTCAAGAGAGCATGAACGACAGAGTTCGTTCTCCTCGACACTGCTCAACATTTCCTTTGGGCTAGACACGTCTTTTCCTTTGCTTTGCGACCAAACCTCCTCTAATCCATCTTCTTAAAGGGGGGAAGGGAGGTAGGAAAGCCAGGTGATCTGGCTTCCTAGGACATGTAGGAGAAGGGATTCCGCCTGCTTGGAAACATTTACATTAAATAAATAGGCAAGTGTGGAATACCACAATAAATTAGTATACAACCAAGGAGCATATACAAGCTACCCCAAACACTTCCCAGTCAGCGGTCTGATGTCCACCCTCTGGCAAGGACTCGTCAATGCCAGAACTTCCCTAGGTCTCCATAAACTAACCATGAACTGACCAAATGTAAAATGTTAATCAAATCAATACCTCCAGGGATATGCAAAAACAAATATGATTTTGAAAGAATGTTCAGATACATCATTTCAAAAATACAAACGCTCCACATTTTCCTCCTTTTCCTTTTCATATCCTCTGGTGGCATCTGCCCAGTGGAAGGCAGCTGGGACCCACTCACAGGAAGTCTCTTTCCACTCCCAGCTTCAGCAGGACACCAGGGCTCCATGGGTGTGCACCTTTTCCTTTTTTTTTTTTTCTTTTTCTCTATTTCTTAAAAAGTACATTCCTCCGTGAGTTTTATCTTGTTAAAATGCTGCTCCTGCAGCAACGTCTTATTGGAACGCTGTGTTTCTAAGTCCACAGCCTAAACGAGCAAAGTGCTTTTCTAAGTTTCCCTGGACACTTGGTAACCAAGCAGGCTTTAAAGTGCACTCGGGTGTCTGAAGACTAGGAGCGGTCGGCAGAGTTCTGGGAGGGGCTGGGCTCAGTCCCATCCTCCGTGCTACTGTCCACGTCCTGCTCCATGGCCGTCTCGTCGTCATCCAGCTGCTGACTGGTGAAGTTGTTTAGCTCAAGAAGCCCACTGGGCTCTACGACCACGTTGGAGCTGGAGTGACAAGGAATAGCATACTGGGGAATGGCCTGGAAAAGAAGATGCGGGACAGTGTGCTTACAGTGGAGAAAGGTAGCGGGGAATGCACCCCCTCCCCGCCCTGAAATAGGCACAGAAAACAGAAAGCTGGCATGGACCAGACAACTTCCACATGGAGCACTGTGCTAGATCTCACATAGGGCATTCTACTACATTCCGTGGCAATGTTGTATGAATGAGATTATCATTTTCATGTTACAAGTGAGCAACCGTGAGGTGAAAGATGTCCTTCAGGTCACACAGCTGTCAAGGTTAATGCTGGATTCCACCTCAAATCCCATACAACCAATGTGGCCTTTGTACTCCTTTATTGGGGCCTCTTCTAACAAAGAAGGCTAACGGCTCCTGCACATTTAAAAGCTAGGCCTTTTGCTTTGTTTTTTCCATCTTATCTGAATTTTATCAGTTTTGTTTTTTGAGACAGGATCTCACTATGAAATCCTGGCTGGCTTAAAACTCACAGAGATCCACCTGCCTCTGCCTCTCAAGTTATGGGAATAAAAACATGCACCATCGCACCCAGCCTGAATGATACAATATTTTGTTCTTCATCTTCAAGATGAATGACTTGTTGCTGACACACAATCGGTTTTAAGCCTCTTCGGTGGTTCAAAGAGGAAACCAACTTGTTTAGTCACAGCAAAACACTTTTATCGCAACTAAGTAATAAAGGTATGCCAAAAATCTGCCATTTAAATAACAACAACTACAACAACAACAAAAATTACTACGTTAACACTGGCTGGAGCCCCTTGGTAAGCACTTATTGGTGACTTATGGTCCTACCAGAATCTTTTATCTTCAAAGTTGGAGCGGGGGTCTCAAGTATCCCAAACTGGCCTTGAACAGACTATGTAGCTGGGATGACCTTAAACTTCCCATCCTCCTGCCTCTACTCTCCACGTGTGGGGATTATAAGCATGCACTACCACGCCTGGAATATCAGCTATATCACACTTCTGCTCTTAATCCTGGACATGAATAAATTGCATTTTCATTCCTGCTAATACAATGCAGAAAAACATTTCAACTACGCCACCCCAAATGAGTATGGCCATCTAAGCCCCCAGATGTTACAATCCATTTTAGTAAAACCAGCAAGAGTTACCATCTGTTGGTCACACACTGAGGCAGTCACTGTGCTAGGTGTCCCTTACACACACTCTACAAACGAGGCATGACTATTCCCACGCCCGACGAGGAGACTGAGATGAGAGTGACGTCAGTAGTGCAGGCCACAGTAGTGAGTGGCAAAGACCAGCAATCACAACAAAACCTTTTGTTAAGAAATATGTAATTCACTAAATTATTTTTATAGATGGGAAAAATAATTGAATAATTTAACAGCTACTTTTGACACATCTTAATTATCAGCCCTCGTATTATGTCTCATTTGGTTTAATTATGGTTAATCTGCATTCTCGCAAATGGGAAGTTTATTTATGAACTTTGAAGCACACAGCAGTGGCTCTACGCCAATTCTAGATTCTCCACAGGTCCGTAAGTGGGAACTCTCAGTGAACTGAAATGGGCTGCTCTCATACTGTGCAAACTATGTACCAGTTTGGAACAAATAAAAACTGCCAATAACAAGGAAAATTAAGTCTGAAAATCTTGCATTTAGAGACTGAAATAAAACACAACCCCTAAGGGCTAGTCTGACTCAGTCTGAGTCATCAACCTTAACCTACAACACAGAATGGCGGACGGCTTTTAGGACAGACGATAAAGGCAGAGAAGGAGGCTGCCGATGAACTGCCCACGGTGGCGACAACACCTCAACAAGGTGATCAAATGACACTGACATAAGAAGCAAAGGTTATGGTTATGCCAAGTTAGACACACACATGGGGAGCGTGTTTCTGCAGACATTCCAGCCGGCTGAAGTTGACTATTCTGGGAACCACAAATTCAGATGAGGAACAAGCAATGTTTACAAAGTGTCCCTGAAATCCAAACACTTATATTCCAGTTTGTCAGACCACGCAGCCCAAAATGTGAGCCTCGGAAAGCAATGACCTTGTGAGTGACATGAAATCGGGGTGACACAAAGACACATGGTCCCTAAATCACACAGTGAGCTGTGTGATCTTATCTACCAAGTTTCTGTGATTGCTCTCAAAACAAACAACAATAAAAAAAAGCTAAATATAAATTAGTATATTGTAATAGTCTCTAAACCAACTCAAAAAAAAAAAAACCTATCTCTGCTTTTTGTTACCACCTTAGAGTGGCTGGTCTGGTGACACCCCAAAATGTATCAAGCCCACAACCTCCCATCTGCCCAAGGCGTCTGTTTTCCTTCCGGGTCTTACCTGGATGATAATTTCTGTTGGGCTCTCTTCAGCTTTCTTTTGGCCTACATTCTGAATACGCATGAACTGGCCTGTCGCAGGCACTCCTGCTGCTTCCAGCTTTCTGGTCGTTAGGGAAGGGCCAACAGCAGATGGACTTGAACAGGACTCTCTACATTTCGCCATCCCTGCCACCACCATGTGGGTGGAGGGCAAAGCTCCTGCCTCACCAGCGAGCACACTGGTGGCTAGAGCCTTCTTTGGGGGATCCACTACCATATGTTCTACATTTGTATCAATCTGAGCTTCCATCAAAGACATTTGCAAAATGTCTGACACTGCTGTCTTCTCAGAGGCCTGAATGGGAGGTATGCTTGTAACTGGTGACGTCAGCTTAGGAACAGAACTGCCACCAGATATCTTTGTAACTGTGGGAGGCTGGCGCCCCTCAAATGTTATCTTTGTAACAGAGGATCCTTGGGTTATAATTGGCTGCTCCACCTGAAAACAAATTGGGGTTGTGTGTATTATAGCTACATCTCTTTGAGGAAAAACTAATCAAACACTCCAGAAAATATGGTAAAAGAAACATTTGTGCAGTATACTAGAAGACATTTTGAAGCTCCATGTTTTAGTAAGAGGGCTGGATGGGAAGGATCTGTTTTCTTTTAAGGAACCTAGGGAAAGAGGAGGGGTTGAAAGAACCTTTGTTCAGCCAGCCAAGCTTTGAGGCAGTAAAGGAAAAAAAAAATCACAGCAGCCTAGTTTTTCTGAGATTTACATCCCGAGATACCTTCGACCCGCTCAAATGATTTCACATAATCTACTTTTAAAATTAAAAGTGAGTTGGATTTTTCAATCTTTTCCTTCAAAGTACAACTGTACAAACATATTCTATATATGTATTTGCAATATATAAATATATACATATATATACACACACACATCAGTCCAGAATTATCAATTAGTGCTAATAAAATTTTTCTTTTGATTATCCACGTATTTCTTCTGCTATCTAGGTGATAAATCTAGAGGGTAAATTCATCAACTAGACGAAAGGAAGACAAGATGGTCAATTTTGTTCCTTAAAAGCCTGCGGTTTACTTAGCTGACGTGATTCTTTAGAAACGGCCTAGGAAAGCTCAGCTCTCAGAGTGCTTTTCCCCCAACACCAACACCAGCACAATGAGGCTTTGGGGTTCCCTTGCTTGGAGGAAGCACTGCTGGCTGTGATGACAACCTTAAAAAACAAAACAAAAAACCTCACCTATGCCCAAACCCCCACAAACAGAGAAGTAATTTTGCAAGCTATCAAAATTCTGTTACCTGGCTTGCCGGTTGTTTCTCTGATGACGTTGAGAGCGCCATTTGGCTCTGAGGAGTTTGGGGTTGTACGTAGATTTTTGGTTGGTTTGGAGCTTGCTGTAGTTTAGGGAGCTGCTGCGTGGTTTTCACAGCAAGCACCTGTACTACAGTTTGCGGGGGCTGTGCCATTAAGGTAGGAAGCTGCCTGTCTTTGGCCACCACGGGATGCTGTGTGTGCGGTGCATCTGGCTTGGGCTGTGCTTGTTCCTGCTGGAGAGGACTCAGTTTCTGATGTCTGATGGAGAGCTGGGGCATCTGCGTGAGCTTGTGCTGGAGCTGGTCTGCCTGCAGGTGGAGGGTCTGTTTCTGCTTGGTCTGGAAGCACTGCAGAGTCTTCACTTGCAGCTGAGTTTGCTCCAGCTGGGGGCTAAGTTTCTGCTGTTTAGCTGACTGAGACTGAGTCAGGGCAGATCGGTAAAACAGACCTGTCTGAGGATCCAATGTGTCCATCTCTTCAACCTCACCCTCCTCAGTTCCAAGTTCCTCACTGTGTTTGGTAAAAGCAGTGTGACTGCTTAATGCCTAAGTAAAAGAGACACAAAATAAGAATGAAATAAGAAAAAACAAACTAACAAACAAAAACCACCTACAGTGTCACATTTTTCTTGAACTGGAAAATATTAGAGATTCATTCCGATATTTTTAGAGGAGCCTAAAGAGACTACAAAGCTTCATGGGCTTTTAATCAAAACCCATATTTTGAACTCTCAAACAGTAATTACTTCAAAATCCAGTCCACTCATTATTACACAGGAAGTCCTGGAGAACCCCAAATCTATAGATTAGGGGAATGAGGTGCCCTGAAGAACAGGTGGCTCCCCGGGTCAGGAGCCACACTTCAGCCTGTGCTTGAGGGACACTCACCTGTCTAAAGGCTGCAAAACCAAGGCTTGGGAAAGCCCTCTTTAGCCACATGCAAGCCCTTAACCCCAAAGGTCAGCTAGACTGTCTTGGAGATACGTCCACCCCAATCTCCACAGCAGGTCTCTCTGAGGAGAGGTTATGTCACTTCAGAGTCCAGACTCACTAGGCCACAGCTTCCTAGAGACCTGTTTGCTAGAAGGGAGTGAGCCAGGGGACAAGGCATTCCTCTTCGTGGGCAAGGAGACTGACTGCCCAGGGTCAGTTCATCTTAACTGTGCTCTAGCTATCTAACACTGAGGGCAACTGTTAGAGCCAGGCTCTCTGGCCTCTCTGTATATAAGAAAGATCAATGTCAGGACAGACTAAGAGCTCCCACCCAGTGAAATCTTGAGACGGGTGGCTTTCCTTCGGGACACAACAAAATCCACCTTATCCTAGCTTTCCTGCTGCCTTGTCATACAGTACACCATTACTCTAACTTCAAAAGTGGAACGTGCCCTTGGATCAGACTTGATACACACACAGTTGTGGTTCAGCGCCTCTTCACTGTCTTTCGGGTTTGCTGGCAGCCAAGTCACTAAGGAGAGTCACAGCGAATCTGATACCCACAATGAAGCTATGAGGCAGAAATGCCACTATAGGTTTAAATCATGGTTCTGCCACCTGGAGCAAGTTACACGATTTTGGCTAGAAAGAGGTACGATATACCTACCTTTCAGAATCATAATGAGGTGTACTTACAGCTCAAAACATGTCGTCACACAAAAATCAACTTAACAGCATAGCTTTCTTTTTCCTCACTATTTCCTCACTGAATACCAGGTTCCTATCTGATATCAATTCATTTCCTTCCTGTTGAATCTTCTTTTACTGGTCACACATAATTAAAGGAGTAAAATATTTCTTTCCCTTCTTGTTCATAATGGCCTCATGAGGACTCATTATAAAGTATAAAATAAAAGCAAAAACAAACTTAGCAAACAGCCGAACAAGTCAAATGCTACTTCGTTTTGAAAAATCTTACTTATACCATTAGTAAATTCGTCTGCAATAGTAAGAGACACAGTGACCAACTCTGAAGTTAGGAGACTCACCCAGACAGCCCAACCCTTCTGAAATGCCAAGAGTCTCTGCAACGTTAAAAACAAGAAAATACTGCTTTCTAATTATTTCCTGGTGTCCAGACCCCAATTCAGACTATTCGTTCCTCACAGATGGATGAGTTACACATACATTCTACAATTCAGATAGAAAATAAATGAACCTTATTTCGGGAATAAAGAGGTTACAGAACAAAAGAAGAAAAAGAAGAGATACAACCTGTTGCATAATGTGGGTGATTGCTCCAGGGGAAGACGCTGGGATGGACTTTACCACAACTGAAGTCTGTGTCGCAGTCTGTGACTGAGCCACATGTTGGAGCAGGGTCCGCTGGGGCTGGGAAGGCTGTTGGGGCTGGGAGCGATGGCTGACTGAAAATAGAGGAGGTGGGTGATGTTTCCTCAGAAATCACCACAGCAACAGTAAGCAGTGACCATCATTTTAAACACACGCATGAACTTGTATCTAGGAACTCTGTAAACCCTAAGATCTTATGAAACCACTTCCTCATCTGCAAAATGGGAACAGAGCCACTGTATGTGGAGGGGATGTGCAGAGAGGCACCATGAGAACTTGCCTTTAAAGCAGCGCCCTCTTGTGAACTGTTGGGTTTTCTCTAGAGACTTTAGCCCACTGAGCTCACAGGGAAACAAAGCGTTTCCACAGCCCGACATGCACTGCTCCTCTAGTGGAGAGAACGTCACAGGACAAAACGACGCTGCACAAAGGTCCCGTCTCTCTCCTGTGAATCTGGAGCCACTTGGTTTCTATTAAAGCACCAAAACTCAGAGCCTGGCTGCTTACCTGTGTTTCAGTGGAATAATAAAAATTTGCTTTTTTTCTTACAAAAGGCAAATGAAAAAAAAATGGGTCGAAATTGGTCCTTAAACAAAGGATCAACAGGAAAAAAAGGTTGCTCTGCCTGCCACTTCAGTTTTAGCTCAAACAGACCAGCAAGAGTGAAGCTGTAGGGATCAACCCCACTTCCTCCTCTCCCACCACAGGGCTCATTCACACTACTCATCTTTATAGATGTCATCATTTACCAGCCGCATTTCCTTCTTTTTTAAAATTTATTTATTTTTATTTATGTGCATTGGTGTTTTGCCATGGGTGTTAGGTCTCCTGGAACCAGTTTCACACAGGTTAAGTGGCCATGTGGGTGCTGGGAATTGAACTTAGGTCCTCTGGAAGAACAAGTATTCTTAACTGCTGAGCCATCTCTCCAGCCTCACATTGGTCTCAACTTCAAGTTTTAACAGTATAGACACTTGCCACATCCAAACCCATAGAATACTCAAATGCCTTTAGTTACTGGGAAGGAAACCCTTGAATCAAGAACAGGTAAAAAACAAATCTGTAAATGAGCTAAGAGTTTTGAGAGTATGAAAACTCCTCCAATAACCCATAACTGTAAGGTTATATAGCTTAGCTTCAATTTCAAGGAGCACTGCTCCACGCTTAGAAAGAGTGAGCTGCACCTAAGATCAAAGCGTGTGTGTGGTGGTCTAAGGACTAGAGTCCAGCTGTGACTGGTCACAATGCTCTTCTTTATACACTCACAAATGCCGCGGATGCGCCATGAGGTTACAGACAGCATCCCCTGGACTCCTCTTATGCTGCGGTGGACTACCTCACTGCATTTCACAGTATGCTTTTATGTGTATTTTAGATTATATGACTTAATAATCTTCCACATAGTCTCAGCTAAACTGAAAATAAAGACCCAGGATTTAAAGTACTACTGAAATCATTCACAATAGAACTAAATAGGAAAAAAATTATGACATTAAACTCAAGCAAGCAAATCAATGAAAATTTTAAATGAAAGCAATATAAAAAATGAATGACATCTGAAGCATAACAATAAATTTCTGATGAAAATGTTTAATTATATAGACCATTTTGATACCCATACTAGCTTTCATAATTATTACAGTAAGCTTTTTTTTTTTAAAGATTTAGTCATTCATTAATTTATTTATTTTGGAGTGTGTGTGTGTGTGTGTGTGTGTGCGCGCGCGTGTGCACCACCACATATATCTGGGTGCCTACAGGGACTAAAGGAAGGTATTTGATAACGTGGATCTTAAGTTATTACAGGGGATTGTGAACCACTGAATATGGGTACTGGGAACCAAACTCAGGACCTCTGGAAAAGCAGTATCCATACTTAACTGCTGAGCCATCTCTCCAGTCCCAGTAGTAAGACTTTTTAAATTAAAGAAACAAATTAGACTTAACAAAATATCAAAAAATACTATGTAAAAATAATTCTCCTTCAAGTTTCTATTAGTATTTTCTTACCAAATGCTCATATGTAGGTCACTAAAGTTCAGTGACCCCAACACTAGCACTCACAGGGCACAGAGCAGCTAGCTGCCCGACACTGCTGTAGGCGTGAGTGGTGGGGACAAGGGATGGAGGCCGCGGAAAGGCCTTTACGAAACAGATGGCGCGACCTTAGCTGGCCCACAGAGGCCCCACACAGTCATCCATTTCTCTAGACAATTCTTTTTTTTTCCTTCAGCAAAGAGTTCGTTTTCCCTCTACTTTGCAAAATAACCTTTCTTTCCCTTCGCTAAGTGGAGCTTACCTTCCCTCTACCAGAGCAGAGCAGAGCAGAGCGCATCCATTTAAGTAGTTCCCCATAACTAATCATCCTCTACCTTTCATTATGTTACAAATGGATGCACACCACTTACCTAGAAGGGGAAAAGTAATCTCTGTCCCCTCATCAGTGCGTTCTGAAAAGGATAAGTAAGGGAAGAAATCATAGGTCTTTCATCTATTCACTACGTGTTTGTCTAGACTTCTGGAGGCGCCAACATTCAGTGCTCCAGCACACCGGCCTCTGCACCAATGGCTTTCTGCTAAGTATCTGTGAAGTTCATCGTTTTCTATTATCGTCACTGGATTTTCTTTCTGGGCAGTTTCACCCATGAGTCGCAGTATCTGCTCAATAACACTAAAGAACTCCCGTTTCCCTATGGCCTCTAGAATCTTCAGATACCGGAAACTTTACCTTCTCCCTTAACCACTGCTTAAACAAACCCCGGGTGTCTGCTCTCTTTTACCCTGGGTTACTCACATCATGAGCTTCACCAGTTCTCAAGCTAAGTAAGTGTGCAATATTCCAGGTGTGACCTCACCTGAATGCAAGACAAAGAATTTCACTTCTCCATGAGTACCATCCCCAAAATCTCATTAGTATTCGGTTGCTGGACCATAGGTAAATATCTAATCTGCTTCCCATGTGTGTGTGGGGGGGGGGGGAAGAGAGAGAGAATGATTGAGATTAAAAGGTCAGGAAAACCCCCAAAGATGCCGATCTGCTCTGAAAACAAACAGAAGAGCTAAGATATAAAGCTATGACCTCCCCCACATGAGCACCCAGGAGATCCACAAAGGCAGCACTACCTTAATACTACGTTGCAAGAGGACACCTACCAGTGGTGATGTATTCAGCAACTAGTTCTGACTCTACCACAGCAATGGATGGACTCTCAGGAGAATGTCTCTTTTCCTGGGTCATCTGAATAGGTACTGCCATTTGACTCAAGTCAATAGTGGGTTGTCTTGGTTTAGATTCCAATTTTTCCTTTACTGCATAAAAAAGTCGGGGAAAAGTTAACTTTTATTATAAACAAACACTAAAACCAGAGTTGTCTATGGGAATAATGAACCAGACCTCTGGGGTGCCACAATGCAGTGACTAGAAAGACAATGAACTGAAAACTGCAGACTGCTCAGTGTGGTTGGATAGCCTGCAGCCTGCATAACCACGCCCAGCAGCCTACAATACTTCCTAGTCAGTCACACTCAAGTCCCCCTGTTACTCCAGACAGCCAGTTGTTTCTCTTTACATACTCCTCCCAGGATGCTATTCCTTTGTATCCCCAGTACACAACAGCACTGGGGTATACTGCTCTGGGGTACACCCCAGAATAGCACCTCCCATTGATTGATTACTTCATCTGATCTACTCAAAATCTAAGGGCCGGGAATGGCACCCAGAGGTCAGGTGCTTGTCCAGCACACACATGGTCTTGAGTTTGATCCTCAGCACAAGGGGGAAATTCATATAGCCTTTACTGAGGGAGGACTGCAGAGTTCAGTGTTGACCTGGGCAATATCCAAGCCAGCTTGAGCTATAGAGTGAGACCGTGTGTGTGTGTGTGTGTGTGTGTGTGTGTGTGTGTGTGTGTAATTTAAGGTATGGCCAAAAAAGTGTTATAAGTCTTTAATGACTTTTAAAGAATAAAACAAAGTTTTTCACTGTTAAGATAAAAACAGGTTCTCTGCTTATGTGTCTGATAAAACAGCCTCTAATTAATACAGATAGTGCACATGTATAAATGTATTTAATTTATACATATAGTAGTATATGTATAGATATATTTTTTAACTTCTTACCACTTTTTCAACAAAATCTCTTTACTCAACATTCCTATCTATATAAATGATTGATGGAAATGGTTGAATCTGTCAAAGACAAGCAGCTACAAAATGTACCCAAGGCTAAAAAATAATATTACTAGAAGGAATCATCTACAATTTATATCAAATATAAGTATACAGTTTAGCATAGAATTTACAATACACAGTTTTCAGTAACTAAGTCCACTAAAAGACAGCTCCCACCAAGAGCAGAATCAGAAAAAAGAGAACAATCATTTTAAACAAAGAAGCCAAACCCTGCTGTGATCCTGGCCCTGGCCAGGATCCTGCCACTGAACAAGTGGGTAACCTTTCTCAATGTCAGCTAGCTTCTCCAAAACATGAAAGGGTTAGATGAGATCATCAATACAACCCCCAAAATATTCACATAAATGTCCTATTATAGCAGAAAACTCAGTGTAACTTACATAGGGGTGTCCTAGAAGATATCAAAGATATTTAGTAACTACAAATACCGACAGACTCTTACTACACACAGACACTCTAGTGGATAACCTACACAAGAAGTAAATAAATCAATCAATCTGAAAATAAGGTGAGAACATGAGCATGTTTACAATCAAGTCTAATGGTATTTTATGATGCAAAATTGCTCCGGCAGCGTCAATGAGGACAGCAGGGACCCTTCGATCTGTGTCCCACTTGTGCTTACAAGTGACAAGCCCATCCCTCCTGCTGGCAAGAGGACTGTCCATCTGAAACAGAAGTCAGCCCTGTCTGTCTGTCTGTCTTCTAATGACAACTCTCCATCTATACATCGTACTCCGACGTGTATCTTAAGGAACAGTGATTACAAACAAGTCCAGAAGGGGAGAAACTATGCAACAGTGGTGTATTCCAGCACAACCCATCTCTAGAGAAAACATGCTTCATCAGCTGAGCATGTGAGTTCATACCTGTTGTCTGTTGGAGTTCTAACAGAGCTTTGATTGTTGAAGTAGCTGATTGTGATTCACTGGATACATCCTGATATATTATGGTAGGGCTAGTCTCCATTGCAATCTCATGTTCTGACCAATCCTGACGCCGGGAAGCAATTACATGAACTACAGGCTGGGAATCTGTTTTATATTAGTTAAAAAAAAACAAACCCTATAAACAAAGTTTCTCTTAAAATAAAGCATTTTTTTTTAATCTTTGTATTTAATGTAAACGTCACACTTGACTTCTCTAAGAAGACTGCAGCTATCAGAAGGCACACTGTCTCTCACTTCTGAGCTCACTTACTCATTCACTCACTTAGCTTACACTGGACACCTAAATATCAGGATCCACATTTAAAAGTTCAAGAAACCCACAGAATAATCCAAGAATGCTCAAAAAGCACACAGTCTATTTGAGGAGACGAACATGTAAAAAGACAGTACAATTCAATATGCTAACTGCTGCCTACACAGGTGTGCATCTATAAAGGTGAATGCTTGTTTGTGTTTACCAAAAGCAAAACATTCTAGGAGACTAGCTTTCCCCAGTGCACATGAAAACATTTCTATACACAGCCTGAGTACTTGGGACAGTAAGGAAAGAGAGTCAGTCTAGAAAGATCATGACGTAACATAAGTCTAACAGGTCAAAGCCAGGTGAAAAGCTTCAACCCTGTCAGTTACTAGCAAGATGATTCTTCGGGTCTTAGCTCTACTGTTGAATAAGAACAAGACTGGTGGGTATAACACATTGATAGTCTGTGATGCTAATGCCATTCCGAGGAATACCTTAGGCAATGGTGTCACTGTGAGAACACACTTCCATACTGAGAAGAAACAGCTTGCTACATGTCAGCTACACAGCACCCCAAACTGTCATCATATATTTACAGTCCACTGCAGAGCAAAACATTATTATAAGGTGTATGATGATATATAAATAACCTTAATGAACTATAAAGGTCAGCAGAAATGTGGTTGTTGGGAGGTGACTGAAAACTCGATTCTATTTAAGTTGGTTGGAAAATAAATTTCAGCACTAGAAGTTCTTTATGTCCAAGCTGTGGAGGCACACATAGAAATACAGAATGTGCATCAGATTAAGCAACACATACTTAAGAGCTCTCTATAAACCAAATAAGCCAGAGCACTATGTCTAAGACACTGCATAAAGAAATGCAGAGAACACAAAGATAAGATCCCTAAGGCTCAGATCTGGACATCGCAATGGGGGAAACAGAAATGGAGAGATAGCTTCACGTCCTGGGGTAAACATCAAATGATTAGAACAAGGAAAGAGACTGCTTTTCCTTGTGCTGCTTAGTTAAAGCATCAGAAAGTCTTCTGGTTGCTCAAAAATACAAGAAAAAACATGGAAGTCCACCCTCTGAAAACATTACATCTGAAAGTCAGGAGGATGCCCAAAAATACTGGAGCAAGGGAATAATTCTTATAATGAAACAATTTTCCTGAAGAAAATATACAAAAGGTTCAGAATGCGTAATCACCATTAGACAGGTCGGGTGGTGGCACAGGCTTGGAAGCCAGAATATGGGAGGTGAAATAAGAGGAGCAGGAGTTTGAGATCAAACTGGACTATCTGAGACCCTGTCTTTAAGAAACAAAACCCCTGAGTAGAAAACATCACACCAGAGACACACCAGTTCTATTAAGCTTCCTACCACATGTGCAAGACCAGCTGTTGTTGCCTATAATACCAAAGGCCATGTGAAAAATACTGTAATTTTTCTTCACATAATAGAAGAAGAAATACAGGAAATTGTGTTTGTTTGATTAGAGACAAGGTCTCTAGCAGTCAAAATGGCCTTGACCTCATGAACCTCCTACTTCCACCTCTCAAGTGCTGGGATTTGCAGGCATATATATATGCTGTTTATATAGAACTGGGGATTGAACCCAGGCCTTCATGTATACCAAACAAGCACTTTTTCAACTGAAACACATCCCTAGTATCCCAATAATCAAAATTTTAACTTGAAACTGATTATACTAAGAAAACACTATTTTATATAACTTAAGTTCTTAAAAATAAGAATGATGAGCACAAGCCCTTTGTGGAACAATGTATTTGTACACTGTGAAGTTGTGTTGCTCTTATTAATTTAATAAAGTGCTAAATGGCCAACAGCTAGGCAGGAAGAAGTATAGACAGGAACTCTGGGTCCAGGGGGAACTCTGGGAAAAAGAAGGGAGGAGTGGCCAGCCAGATGGAGAGGCAGGAAAATGCCCTAGGTCATGTGGCAGCATGTAAACGGGTAAGTATGGGTTAAGTTGTAAGAAGCAGTTAGTAACAAGTCTGAGCTATTGGACCAGCTTTTTTTATAATTAGTAAGTCTCTGTGTGGGTATTTGGGAGCTGGCAGGTGGGAGAGAAAATTCAGCTACAAATGGCACCCCATGGGGGTCCACATACATCCACATAAAGCCTGAGAGAGTTTGAAACAGTAAAATGTGTCTTTCTGATGACCACACACTCTGGGGTAGGCTCAGTGCTATCAACAAGCAGAGGCATGGCTCTTTTTAGAGGCTCAAGCACCTGCGTGGGGTTTATGAGCAGCGGTCGGCACACTACTCAATGGCATGCGACTAGGCAGAAACACCTACAGCACCGTGGACCCAGAAACTTCCCAAAGCTGGAGCGAGAAACATGGCTCCTGTCAGTACCTCCACCATGCGGTCAGGTTCTCAGGAAACAAAGGCACCCGGGTGGAGCCAGCAGCCAGCAGCCATTAGCTAAGCTGCATAGCAGTTTATAGTCTTTAAAGAAAGAGTAGCTATTTAAAAAAAAAGCCATGTAAAGATGAAAATTACAGGGAGTCAGCATCCTGTAACGTAATAAACCTTTTGATGGCTGATGAATGGGTGACAGTTGCTGAGACACACTTGGTTATGGATGCTGCTGGATCAAACCAACCTCTATGTTTTAAGAGTCTTGACTTCAAAATGCAAAAAGTTATAGTTTTGTCCCCACAGAAAACAAAAGGCTGAGGATTCATTCAGGGTTGAAGAAGATCAGGTTTGAGCAAGGAAGATCCCCTGGAAATCCTGGCTACAGACATAAAACATAAACCTAAAAAAACTACAGGAAAGGTGATGTATATTTTATCTGCTCAAATATAAAACAAAAAATCATCTTTGGCTGACTTGTGTACATTTGAAAGTTTATGTGTTTTCAGAGCAAGGAGATGAGACAGCAATAAAAACGAAGGCCAGGTGGTCCAACAGCTCAGATTTCCTCAGTTGCAGTTCCACCTCCAGTCAGGACTTGACCATTATCCTGATCTCCCAGAGTTTCCCCCAAAGATGTTAGTGGCCCCAGACAACAGAAAGCAGTCTAGAGAAAACAATGTCCACATTCCCAAGAAATGGGTTATGGATGTTTGTCATCATTTGGGGAAGTTAGATAAGTTATCATTGGTCATGGTCAGAAAAAGACCTAAACAAAAGAGTTAGATACACAGATCTCATTCTAAAGGAAAAAGGGGGGATATAGTATAGAAATGATGGGTTTATTATTAAAGGCTTAAAAAACATTCTTTAATCCAAAAAGCAACTACTAATCTCAAAATATTTTACACTGGTATGGGTTTTGGTTTATTGGTACAAGTTTAAAGTTATTTTTGTTATATTCTATGGACATACTCTACTCTTGTTTGGGGTATTGTGTTTATGCTGCTCATTTAAATTGCAATGTATAATTAAGAAATACATCTCTAATAATAAAACTTGTAGTCATATTAGGTATGCTTTCAAGGTTAAACAGATATTAGATGACAGATGGTCTTCAAATACTTCAAAGACATACAGATTATGGTATTAATGATGTTTAATAACCTGAGGCTTTTCATGACAATGAGACAAATCTGCTACTGACAGCACCAATCTACTTCAGAGAAGATGATGGGCATCGAAGAACCTCTATATGGAGTTTACTTTCTTTGTGGCAAACCTAGCCACTTGGGCAAGAAACTTCTCTTTCCAAATTGGACAAATAGAACACAAAAGAAAGTGACTGCTGAACTTTACCAAGACAAGGTAGGTCAGGCCTTCAAATTTTCCTCCTTCTCAGAAAAGCCTGTCAGATATTCCAGGCCTGTATATCAAAGATGGATGCCCCAACATTGCAGAAGAACTTTAGGTGACTGTTCAGGTAGTCAGATGCCCCTGCCATTAGGTAATATTATTTCCTTTTGGCGTCTTTGATGGAGTTAAAGACTAAATAGTTAAACTTATAGTTTTCTTTAGTTATGATAAAAAGTAAATTAGGTATGAAACTTTAGATCCACAAAGACAAGATAGATAATACAGAATTTTTTCTAAATTTGCCAAAAACAAATGGACTGAATATTGTAACTCTAACTCTTGATAACTGTTTTTGTTGTATAAAGTTTTACTATGTTAAAGTTAAAACCTTCCTTTTTATAATTAGACAAAAAGGGGCAAATGTTGTGGAACAATCTTTTGGTACACTGTGAAGATATGTTGTTCTCATTGGTTTAATGAACAGCTAAATGGCCAATGGCTAAGCAGGCAGAGGTCCAGGTGGGAGGGCCAGACAGAGAGCACTCTGGCTCCTTGAAAACTATGAAAGTCTAGTTCTAGACTAGGGCAGAGGTAAATGTCATGAGTTATGTGCCAACACGTAAACTGATAAATATGGGCTAATTTAAGTTGCATGAGCTAATTAGTAACAAGCCTAAGGTATCAGCGAAGCTTTCCTAGTTAATAAGAAGTCTCGGTGTGGTTATTTGGGAGCTGGCAGGCAGGACAGAATAATGTGCCTACAAGCCTATAATCTGAGCACCCAGGAGGAACATCAATTGGATGTCATATAATCTGAGCCATATAGTTTCAGACTAGTCTGGGTTTCTGTCTTCTCATTGGTGATATAGGCAAAGAGAGTCTCTTCAACCCAACTCTGAGATACACTGAATATTGAAAGTAGGGACAGTGTAAAAATACGGTGGAAAAGATAGAAAAAGTAACAAATTTCTATACAGGAGTGCTAACCACGTAACATCTCCTCAAATACAACCATTCCATAGGGACTGGGAGACTGTGCCATCTCTTTCTGTCTACATGGAACAACCCCAACCATTACGATACAAAATGAGAATGTGACCCTAGGAGAAAACCCTTCACAGTCTCCCCCTCTTGTGCTCTTTTGGCTTAGGCTCAGACCTAGTGATGATTTGATCACAGGACACTTGGAGGCTGATCTGACTGCTACTACTTGTTTCTGCAATGTGCACTCAGGTGTCCAGCCTTCCGACACTTTAACATGACAATGTGGTACTGGCATGCCTAGAACTAGCCCTCCATACTTCTCAAGGATGGTGGCCTGCTGCGGATTTCCCTTACATGTTATAACAATTATTTATTGAATGTCTTCTATGTTAGGTACCAGAAATACATACTTTAGTGTTACATTCAAAGGCAAACCCAGGCATCTCTATGCCTTTGTCATAAACTGTCTATATCACACTTCCATAGTCTCAAGACCTCTCGGTCAGAAGGGACTTAAAGGTCAATGTTACCATCCATTCACCCTACAGTCCCACAGGACCCACGGCTCTCTAACAGTTCCTTCATTTCTCTTGTGCTGCTGTGATATAAAGATCTCCCTGTGGTTTCTACAATAGTACTATTGTCTCTCCACTTACCCACAGAGACCCAAACACTTCCTTCATCTATATCACAGATTGCAACATGACTAACGGTTCCCAGACTACTCCCAACTAATCTATCCCCCCCAATCCTTCCTCACAGAAAATGATTACCAGATGTTTACCTCCCTAAGCCAGCTCTTCTAAGCTAAGCCCAAGTTGGTCTATATTCCTTCTATGTGACAATATAAACCTTCCCTCTGAAGTATTACCCCAATGTTCTAGAGAACATCAATTCCACAAATTTTCTGCAAAAGAGGGTTCTGTTGTCAAAAACACTGGGAAACATTTTATATTATGTAATTATATATCCTAGTTTTCATCCTTAACAATATAAATTACCAAATAAATTAGCTAATGAAGTTCTGGGCGGGGAGGGGGGCGTTTTTTTTAAATTGTCTTCACTCTAAATCCCTAAGATGATGGCTCTCCAGGGACTGAGTTCTGACGTAAAACAATGTCTTTATGACACTTATTCTGCCTCATGCCCAGTTCCTTCTCAACTCTGAATTCTCAACTCTGAATTCATCTCCCTGTTTTCTTCTGGTTTGCTTAATATAATCTTGCATTTAATCCACTTTAAAACCTTTTAGATGGACGGTGGTGGTGCACACCTTTAATCCCAGCAATCGGGAGAGAGAGGCATAGAGATCTCTCATGTCAGTTTGGTCTATAAAGCAACTTCCAGGACAGCTAGGGGTACATAAAGAAACCTTGTCTTAAAAAACAAAAAACAAACACACACACACCCCAAAAAAAGAAAGAAAAAAACCTTTAGAGATAAAACTGGATATAAATGAACAAACCAGTACTTTTTAAAAATCTGGAAACCAGTAAGGATATCCTTTATAAATATAAGAAAGAAAAAACAGAAGAAATGTTTAGGAATGGGAAAAAAGCACTGAAAACAAAAATATATGGTCTGATTTCCAGTGAGTGACCTAGGCAAAAGTGTCTCTGATCTAAGAGTCTTGGTTAACTCACTGTCTGTTGGTATCCAAGCAACAGTCAAGAGCTCCTGCAAGGTTAGGAGAAACTGCAAAGGGGATACAATGGTTTGGAATGAGGGAATTAAAATGAGTTTATAAGCATGAAGCTTACTCATTCCCTGGCTATTATTATCCTTGAGACAATAACAGAGAAGGAAATAATAAAAGTACAAAACAAAGTGATTAACATTTAAAAAGAAGTATCAGAAGCATAATGTGGTATGATGAGCCCTGCCAGGGTGGTCAAGTCTCACATCAGGAGGACGTCCATGGTGTCTACCCTACCTATGAAGACACCGTTCAGGATTCAGCTATGGGGCTGAGATGTCTCCTTGTGGGGGTGGATATACTAAGAAGGAACCTTAGGACTTTTGAAGCAAAAAAGAAAAAAGAAAAAAAAAAAGACTGATTCTTCCTTAGAATAGAACAAAGAATAATGAACTTTAAAGAATCATCTACAGATGTTACATCTGTGGATAAGTGATTAATGAGGAACCCTGTGGGTACAGCCTCAGAGTAACTCCTCCCAGAGAGGGATGCGCTAACTTCACAGTGGGGAAAACCAGAAGCAGGCGTCCTAACCAAGTGTTCATCTTATCAGTGTGGCAAATGACTAATCAGGGTCACACAGTGACAAGAAGAGGGGCAAACGGAAGAGGATGGCTGCATGCAATACAGCGGAGCATAATGTGTGACCCTGGCTGGACGTGACTAGGAGACGCACCATAGGAGCATCACTTAGCAACTGGTAGTATGGCAACATGAATTATAAATTAGATAATAGTACTATTAATGACATTAAATTTCTTGACTTTGATAATGGTGATTTAGTAGCAAAAAGGATAGCCTATAACAAACAGAGACCTAAAAATGTAATTTAGAGGTAAAAGGATTTGGTACCTATAACTACTCTCAACTGGCTGAAAGAAAACTTTAAAATTGTACACACATGCAATGGACACAACAGAAAAGAAACTAGAGACAGAAGCAGTAATGCAATGGTGTGGATATTGTTCACTGGGAGAGCATATGTTTAGCCAGGTATAAGGCTATAGGTTTCATCCTCAGAACCAAAAAATAAAATACAAAAAAAAAAAACAAAAACTGGAGAGATAGCTCAGTGGTTAAGAACACTGGCTGCTCACAACTGTGTATAACTCTAGTCCCTGAAGAATGAATGCTCTATTCTGACCTCTTCCAGAACCAGGCAGGCACATCAGTACATAAACATACATGCAGGCAAAACACTCATACACATATAGAATAAATTAAAAAAAAAAAATAAAGCCTCCAATCAAGCAAACAAAACAAAATATAAGTAAATAGAAATCAGTGGTAATAAGAGCTACACATAACTAGTTTACATACAGATTCACACTCAGCAGGAAGATAAAACAGATATCAGTAAAGGACGTTGCAAGTTATTATAATCCCTGATGACAGGCTGAAGAAAACTATCTACTTTCTAAAATCGGTGTTGTGGTGTTTACTGAAATCAGCAGCTTCTTCTGTAATTAACAAGCTTTCAAAGATCATCTTAAAGTCGACTTGTTTTGTGAATGAACGTTTCTCATTTTCTTGGAGTGTGGACTTATAGCCTTCGGAATAATTTTGTTCGTCACTAACAAAAACGTGTATGCTGCAATTGTAGGTAAATCTTTTTAAATCTCCTGGTGTGGTGGTACCCCTGTCCGTCCAGCACTAGGAAAACAAAAGCTGGAGGAGCACAAGGCCAAGGTCACTACAGAGAGGAAAGGCAGGTTGGGCTGTGTGGAACCTTTTCTCTAAGGTAGGAGCAGGAATGAGGCAAGAACTGTATTTTACTCAACATTTATAGGGTCTAACACAGTTCTTAGTGCATAGTACAAACCAACAAATAATTTTCAACAAACATCAAACTATGTAAAACAAATATGAAGGCATCGTTAAAGAATTAAAAATAACGAAGGGTATGATATCAAAAAAATGTGCTTTCTAACAGTGTTTAAAAAAATAAAAAAGCAGCAGGCATGCCAGCAAGGCTGATGCAGAGGAAGAGAGGAACAAGGACTAGGAGGAAAAAAAGAGTGTATAAGCACAGACATAAACATAAGCAGAAAAACTCTAATCCAAAATGCTCCATGAACTGAAACTTTCTGAGCTAAGTGACACGACCAGCAGAAAATCCCACACCCGACCTCACATGACGGTCAGTCAGAACATGTGCAGGACAAAAACCTGGAAACTTACCCTCTGACTAAGTGTATAAGGTTTATAGGAAACATATATGAATATCATGTTTAGACTCGAATCCCATCTGTAAGATCTCTCCACTCTCTCTCTCATGCATGCATGCACACACACGCATACACAAACACTAACACACAAATACAAAATCTGAAATCAAGACACTTGTTATCCCAAGTATTTCAGACAGGATCCTCAGTTTGTAGCACCCAATAAGGGCAGTCAGGATAATTGAGTCATATGAACAGAAGACAATGTCTCAGAGCTTCAGAGTAGAGACTTCCTAGATAAACGTCATAATGATGGTAATACTGAAAATTATCTCCTACTGTGATATTCAGTTTCTAATAACTTTGAGGGTTAAAGGAAATGTTACTCATAATTAGGCAGAATAACAAACATAAACTAGGACTCCATACAAACAGGATGCACAGCTACCCACCTACTGCTCACCTCTGGCCACCCTGACTCTTTCTCAAGGTTCAGCAATAATCAATTCTAAAAGCATATTCCTTTCTTATATACTTCTTCTACTTACCCAAACCAAAGAGTAGAACATAAACATTACCATCTGGAAACTACAGCTCTGCCCAGATCAATACTACCTACCTGATAAAAACATCACCTTTAATCTATCAACAATTTGATAAACATTTGACACGAGGTAAGAATGGTAAGCTATATCAAAATGAAACATCAACTCACTTATTAAACAGGCAAAATCAAATCAAATCAAAAGAACTACGAGCATACAAGTTTGGTCTGGAGTCCCTAGAGGAAACTGAGGCACAGTGTTATCAGGGTTTGTGCAATCAGAAGTACAATAAGTCTTACCTTGGGAACTCTGGGAGGACTCCGTGGAAGAGGAACTACTGTCTGTGTAACCCTGTGGTTCTTCTTTTCCTTCCTGAGCAGATGAATTACCGGCCTCTGCGACCCTGGATGCTTGCTGTAATGTTTCTGTTACCAGCTGCCTTGTTTGTTCACTAACAACTGTAGCTTGAAATGTCACTGGTTTGGGTTTAATGAGAACCTAGAAGAAAATCAGAAACATGCCCAGATGAAATGTCAGAGCACCATTTAAATACTAAACTAGCCAGGCACAGTGCTTTATGTCTATTACCCCAGCACTCGGGACGGGCTAGAAGACTGTCACTAAGTCCAAGACAGCTTTGGCTAGAACGAAATTTCAAAAAGAAACAAAGAACAACAGAAGCTAAACTTGTAGGCCATTTCCAGATAAAGAAATTATCATCATGCATATTTATTATTAGGTTTTGGGTCCGGTATTGCTTACCAAAGACTATTTCACTCCACAGATGAACAAGAAGCTAAGCTATGCACAATATTTTAAATGGGACATGCTAAACTGCAACAGATATGGTTCTTTTTATTTTTTTGTGTGTCTGTGTATGTATATGGATGCCCTCAGGGGCCAGAAGAGGGTTTTGAATCCTCTAGAGCTGGAGTTCCCAATGTGAGTACACAGAATAAAACTCTGATTTTCTGGAGAAAAGGAAAGAAAATTTCTACCTGAGAATTTTAAATATTCAAAAGGTTACCACATCTTACAACATACCTGCGTTTTTCCTTGTTGTCCATAGACAATTTTTGTGGGGATGATTTTAGCTGCTGGCTGGACTGTGGAACCTAGTCCTTTGGGCTGTGTTACAATCATCTTGGTGATGGGTCTTGTGGCAGTAATGATAGCTGGTTTTGCTCCAGCTGGCACTGTCTGCAGAGTCTTTTCTCCCTAGATTGAAGCCAATCATTATTCAGTAGATTTATATGCATTTAAATTATTAAAACAAACAACTGCCATTTTACTGAAAAAGGACAGAAAGATTTTGCCAGGATGGGAAAAGGACTGTAGATTATGCAACAAAGTACACAAAAGTGATTAAAAAATCCTGGACTTAGTTAAATATTGTAAGTCATCTGACCAACTTTCTAGCCAGAAGGGAAAAAAAAAAATTAGGTAAGTTTTTAAAAATCACCACATCTGAGAACATCTAAGAACTTATACTGCCCTACTCATAGAATACCTATATTAAAACAGAAATTTCTGGAAGAACATACACTAAAACCTTAACAACTGTTATATCTGAGAGTTGAAACTGTAAGTCATCTCCCACACTAATTTTTACTTTTTAATAACCTGAAGTGAATTATTTATGTAACAAAAAAATGGTGCAGTATACCACAGATAAACATACACAGACAAATAAGGAGCACAGAGCAGGATGCTGTAGAAAGAACTATGGAGAGATAGAAAGACAAACGATATTGACATTCTTTCCAAGGCTCCATGGAGGGAAGGGGGAAGAAACTTACAGCACTTCTCATGTCTTACCAGTACGTATGAATACCACTTTAGTCTATTACAGATTCAAGCCCATTAACCTTTCACCGTCTTCTGAATTTTCACCTGCTTTATTCTGTCTGTCTCTCTTTCTGTGTGTGCGTGTGTGTGTGTGTGTGTGTGTGTGTGTGTGTGCGCATGTGCTGCTAGAGCCTGAACCCAGGGCTTCAGAGATGCTAGGTAAATGCTCTACCACTAATCCTTACCCTCAGCCCTTTGTTTTCTTCTGAAGTACCAGTTTCTGGTCACAGTTTTAATATCAGCACAGTTTTATTTTATAATTTTCAAATTAAATTTCATAAAAGTTAGCAGTTTTCACAGTAGCAGTTTTTTAATTTTAGCTATCATCATCATAGATGTGTAGCTTTCAAACTTAGCAGGTGGTAAGCTGAAAGCAACCGGTGAGCTGTCTAAAGAGTAGCCATTCAGAACTCATATCTACATCTGGGCCTAAGAATTATAAACCTAACTATCAGCTACAATTATCTAAAGGAAACAATGTGTCTTATTTCAGCTCACATCCTGACTGCAGCAGTGTTCCCAGAAAGAGCTGTGATTTTTCCTCCAATGGCCACTAGTTTGCAAGTATGCAGCCTGTCCAAGCACGGTGCACGGTGACCCACATAGAACCCACGTGCAGCTTGCAGGATGTCATGTGGGAACGCTCCTCTGATGTAAGTGGGCCTGCATTGGATGCAGGTGGGGAGTAGGAGCATGTGCTGTGTGCTCCGTGTGCTGATGACAAAGGTCCCATAGACCGATACACTTACTTACTGGCATTTCCTGCCAAATTACTGCTCAGTATCTACTAGACAAAATTCAGACATGACTCTTAGATCTCCAATAGCAGACAAAATACCCTGCGGGAGGGAGGCAGTTTCAAGACAGGGTTTCTCTGGTAACAGCTCTGGCTGTCCTGGATCTCACAGAGATCTGCCTGCCTCTGCCTCCCAAGTGCTGGGATTACAGGTGTACATCACTACCACATGGCTATACCCTTTTTTGTCTTATAAATTCAAATACTACAGAATCCTGGCTTTCCTACTGAATTGCTATGTAAATTCAAAAAGGCCTAATGCGGACCATTTTCAACATTACAAAAGATGTGGTGCATAAGCTTTTAGGATCGACTTCTAGTGAGGTCAGAAAAGGTAAAGATGCTTCTGAGCCTGAGTGCTTAAATACCAACAACAGTAAGAAGCCAGTGACTGAGAACTTCCCATGTGTTGTTAGACACTGTTCTAAGCACTTTCAAAACACCCATCATCACCCCACTGTAGACATGAAGAAATAAAAGATTGCAGTGGCTAATAAGCCACCCAAAGTCAAAGAACAGCGAGACAACAAAGCCTAAATGTGTCTAAGTCCAACCTCTTGACAACTGCCTTCAGAGTTTAAAATGGGAAAAACGCAACAAATCCCCATCTATCAATTTTATCTTAAACTCAAATATTTCTGTTTGTCCAGAGTAAATCAAACACTAATCTACTGGCCATAAGCAGGAATAAAATTGTTCCAAGTCTCCCTGCAGTTAAGCATGAAACTGAGCACGCAAGCCATGGTCACAAGCCACCTTCGCTATGAGCAGTTATGAACAACATGCTTTCAGACTACTGTGAAAATGGCATCAGAAGACAGATAGAGGTGATTCTATCACAGCACTAGAGACTCAAGCTGGTCCACCCACTATGGGGTTCTGACATTGGATGGCCTTTAAAATATTTAGTGGAGGGAGCTGGAGAGATGGCTCAGAGGTTAAGAGCATTGCCTGCTCTTCCAAAGGTCCTGAGTTCAATTCCCAGCAACCACATGGTGGCTCACAACCATCTGGAATGAGATCTGGTGCCCTCTTCTGGCCTGCAGTCATACACACAGACAGAATATTGTATACAAAATAAATAAATATTTAAAAAAAAATATTTAGTGGAGTGATGGAGGAATGGCTCAGAGGTTAAGAGCACTGGCTGCTCTTCCATGGGACCCAGGTTCAATTCCCAGCACCCACAGAGCAGCTCATAACTCTCTGTAACTCTGGTTCCAGGGGATCCAATACCCTCACACAGACATACATGTAGGCAACACACCAATGTACATAAAATAAAAATAAATTATTTTTTTTAAAAAATGTTTATTGGACTACTGAGTGTGTTCAAGGTCTTACTTACTCCAGCATTTAGCAATGTTGTGACAACGTTTTTGCCAGGGAGGCCTTGAATGGTCGTTCCTTTTCCTGTGGTCTTTTGAACAACAATCACATTGGGCTTGGAAGTCATTGGGATTGTAGTGATTTTGGTAGTCGTTCCTTAGAGAGTGGGAAGAAAAGGAGGCCTGAGTTAAGGACTAGTGATACTTGGCTGTTCCTATTCATGATGTATACAAGTAATACAAGACTACATAATGTCATCGTTAGGTGATGTGCGTGTGATCCTAAGGACAAAAATGAAGGCTTGGAATAGTAAATTCTAAATCACCCCAGAATAATAAATATTAAGAATTAACTTTTTTTTTTAAAGGTTTCTAAGACAGTTTAACTATGTAGCCATAGCTGGGCTGGAATTCACTATGTAGACCAAGCTGGCCTCAAACTCAAAGAGATCTATCCTGCCTACCTCTGCCTCTGCCTCCCAAGTGCTGGGATTAAAGGCGTGCACCACCACAGCCCAGCAAGAAGTGAGTCTTAAAGCAACCCTCTTCTGAAAATCTGAGGACCTACACCAAATTCCAAGTCTACAACTATCGCTGTCCATTTCTCCATCAGCACTCTTTCCTGACTGGTTTAAAATTAAGCAGAAATCTTATGACACGTGTTCCCCTCAAATCTAATACTAAATTTATGTGGTCAGCATGATGGAAAAACTCTTCAAAAAAGGAACATTAGAGGCATATATAGAAATTCAATAAATTGTAGAAAGGATTTATGGAAAGACATAAAACAGTTGTGTGTAGTAGTCAAGTATAATCCCAGCATCTGAGAGGTGAGGGCAGGAGGATTGTGAGTTTTAAACCAGCTTGCACTAGAATGAGACTCTACATTAGAAAAACCAAAAACAAGAAAAAGCGAACACAGATACGCAGATCAAGTGACAGTCAGTTTGAGCATCTAAGTGTGCACAGCTCTAGAGACCGAAAGGAGGAAGTAGACTTCCAGGGCAAATTGTTTTCAGCCATTAAGATCTACTTTCTTATTATACTAAGAGAGATAATTCAACCTCAGGAAAACAAGCACCTCGCGCTCTCCCTCATATTTGGATCCTTTACGCATGAAAATAAGGGAATGTGAGGGTCAACAGGTGTCAGCAAAGGAAGGAGAGCAGTGGTGGTGCACGCTTTAAACCCAGCACTCAGAGGCAGAGGCAGGTGGATCTCCGTGAGTTTGAAGACAGCCTGATCTACAAGAGTGAGTTCCAGGACAGGCTCCAATACTACAGGGAACCCTGTCTTGAAAAACCATTTAAAAAAAAAAAAAAAAGGAAGGCGAATGAGCAAAAGGGACATCAAAGTGGAAAGGGGGCTACTAGTGGAAGCAGAAGGGAAGAAGGGAAGGACAGGGATGGGGCACAAGAGGGTAAAGAAACAACAAAATAATAGTTGTTTGAAAACAGCATAATGAGCCGAATCTTCTATAAGACAGATAAAAGACCTAATTTCTAAGTGTATATGTAACTCTACTGACAGAAATACAGTGTCCTTCCCTCTAGAATCTGCTTCTCTCCCACCTATCAAATTTGTGCTCTATATTCTAACTGTCCAAGTTAAAGGCCAGGTACAGACTTTGGATTCCTGTCTTGAGTCCCTGTACCTGCCAAAAAAAATATGACCTTTTCATGTCACTGATGGCTCGGTGTGTAGCTGAGGGTTCACCAGCAACTCGGCTCTAAACATAACAGCCACGCAAGCGCACTCAACACTGCTCTCCTCTGCTTCACTACTGCTCCTCCGTTTCACGCTTCTCCATCTCCCAGTTTTGATATTCTACACCAAACCCAGCATCCTAAATTAAACCTTTACACCAAGACTCTAACAGGTTAACTTGGTTTTAAAGAGTATTCCTAATCTCCCACTCTTCCCTCTTGAAAGTCACAACCCTACGTGCGGGCTAACAGGGTGGCACAGCAGGTAAAGCTACTTGCTCACCACGCCTGATGACTGAATTCAATCCTTAGGCCCACAGGGTAGAAGGAGAGAACCAACTCCTGCAAGTTGTCCTCTGACCGCGGCACCTCCATTCCCCAAAATAAATATCAAAACCAACCAACAAAAATAGCAGCTTACATAACCATATTAGTTCCTCCTGTTCAGGAACACAAACGGACGACAAACTATGAGGCTTCCCAGCACTGATCCACTAGGTCCACACTCCTGTGCAGAGCTTCCGAAGTTCCCACACTGATCCACTAGGTCCACACTCCTGTGCGGAGCTTCCGAAGTTCCCACACTGATCCACTAGGTCCACACTCCTGCGTGGAGCTTCCGAAGTTCCCACACTGATCCACTAGGTCCACACTCCTGTGCGGAGCTTCCGAAGTTCCCACACTGATCCACTAGGTCCACACTCCTGCGTGGAGCTTCCGAAGTTCCCACACTGATCCACTAGGTCCACACTCCTGCGTGGAGCTTCCGAAGTTCCCACACTGATCCACTAGGTCCACACTCCTGCGCGGAGCTTCCGAAGTTCCCACACTGATCCACTAGGTCCACACTCCTGCGTGGAGCTTCCGAAGTTCCCACACTGATCCACTAGGTCCACACTCCTGCGTGGAGCTTCCGAAGTTCCCACACTGATCCACTAGGTCCACACTCCTGCGTGGAGCTTCCGAAGTTCCGAAAGATTTTAAGATTCCTCCATCTACCTCTTTCCCTCAGTGTGCTGATCTCATACTGAGCATATTAGGCCCAATTCTACTTTTGCTCCTTAAATTTTCTGTGCCTAAGGAAGCAGGCAGATTCTACTTTTCTACAGGCCTGTGCAGTGAATGTTTAAATACAGAATGGGCACTCAACAAAAACACAACTTATTTGCAAAAATATTACATAAAGCTATATTATTTTCCACTGGAAAAATACTAACATTCCTTACTAGAATTTCAAACGAACATATTTATAGGAAGTAATTTTACACCAAGAATAATAGGGTTCTAGTTCTAAGATTTATTCAGAAGGGGCCTGGGAGATGCTGTTCTTGCCAAGAACCTGAGGTCAGCTCCCAGCACCCACACGGGGCCTCATTACCATCCATAATTCCAGGTCCAAGGGATCCAGTACCCTCTTATGACCTCCATGGGTCAGCCCAGGTCCAAGGGATCCAATACCCTCTTATGACCTCCACGGGCACCAGGCACATACATGGTGAACAAATGAACACACACACACACACACGGGCACACAGACAAAACACTCATACACATAAAATAAAGCTAAAAAATGTTTAAAGAATTACGAAGCAATATGCTACACTGGGGCAATCCTGTTATAATTCTTCACAATATACTTGCTGTTGTGTAGGAATATTCAATACCCAAAGCCTCATCTGGGCGTATGGGAAAAATCGTTTTCTTCCTTCAACTACACTGTTAATACATGAGCCACTATAAATCACAGGAACCAAGCTGCTCATCGTTCAGTTAAGGCAACTTTAACTCTTGATTAATTCTAATCTGTCACATATGATATGTAGGCCTTTTTAGACACTGGGAAATTATCAAATATTTGGTAATGGAAAAGTGGGTTTATAAAAATGATCTCAAACAATCATAAACTATGCTTTTAAATTAACACCAAAATATAAGGGTCTTTTGGTTTTAAGATAAAATTTGCTTAACAACTGGTTTTATTTACATGTACTAAAACATCTACTGAGTCCTTATAAAGGTTTTGCAACTTAGGAGACAGTCATAAATCAAGTCTACCAGTTTAACAAGGGGGATGGGAGAGGGTGTCAATAATACCAAATGGGAGGAGGAGGACTAAGAGGAAACAACAAGTATAACATTGCTTTAGTCTGGAACATCAATCTTTTCTAGAATGACCAGTATTAAATGCCTGAAATTCCAGTGTACATGTCTGACCTACGGAGAAGTCTATGCGAAAAAAGTTACACATCCAAAAAGAAAAGAAGGCCATGGCTGGGCTTTTGCAGTAGAGGATCTGCAGTTCTCATAATACAACAGAACCCGCACAAGCGGGCTAGCACCTTGTTTTGCTTTAGTTTGGTTTTTAAGATTTGTTTCTTTTGCAGTTCCAGGAATCAACTCCAGGACCTTGCTCACTCACACTCGGCAACTATTCAGGTACCCGAGCTTCACTGCAGTCAATTTAGGATTCTTTTTTTTCTCCTAGTTTTTTGAGGCAGGGGTTTCTCTGTGTAGCCCTGGCTATCCTGGAACTCTCACTCTGTAGATCAGGCTGGCCTTGAAGTCGGAGGGTTGCCTGCCTCTGCCTCCCAAGTGCTGGGATTAAAGGTATGTGCCACCACAACTGCCTTATGTGGATATTAAAAATGAAGCACATAAATCTTTTTCATGTGCACTGGTGTTTTGCCCGCATGTATGTCTGTATGAGGGTGATGGATTCCCTGGAACTAGAGTTACAGAAAGGTGTGAAAAGCCATGTGGATGCTGGGAATTAAACCTGAGTCCTCTGGAAGAGGTTAAGAGCCAGTGCACTTAACCTCTGAGCCATCTCTCCAGTCTCAAATCTTTTTGTTGTTTTTTAAGATAGGGTGTCTGTGTAACAGCCCTGGCTGTCCTGGAACTCACTCTGCAGACCAGGCTGGCCTCAAACTCACAGAGATTCACCTGCCTCCCCCTCCAAAGTGCTGGGATTAAGGGCGTGTCCCACAACCTCCCGACCCATTTACCATTTTTTTTTGGCACATGCTAAATCCTGTACATGTTTATATATCATAGCAGAATCCTGTACATGTTTATATATCATAGCACGACATACAGATTCTGGCACTTCAGAGAACTACCAACAGAGACAATACTTAAGGGTAAAAACAATGGAATCAAATAACAATTACATTACGATCACAATGGGTTCTCCGATAATGATGACGAATTCCAAAAATCTTTACTTTGGGGGTGTATGGGATGCTTAAACTGGAGAGGCAAAAGAACTGCAGGCTATATAGTTGTAGGTTAGGCCATATAGCTGGTGTGAGGCTAGCCTAGAATACACAGTGAGATCCTGTCTCCAACAGTAACAACAAACTATGAAACAAATCAAAACTATTACAGCCAGGTTTGGTGGTATGAGCCTACAATACTCTGAAGACTAAAGCCAAAGAATCACAAGTTCTAGGTCAGCCTGAGTAACTTGGGAAAAGCCTGGTTCAAAATCTGAGGCTGAAAGGGGTGAGGATAGGGGCACTGAGAGGTGTGCTCAGCTGGAAGCCAGGGCTGGGGGTGGGGAGTGGAGTGTGAATATTATGGAATGCTGTCTTAAATTTATTGGCTTAGATCCTACTATCCACAGACTCTTTTTGTTTGTTTGATTTGGTTTTTCGAGACAGGTTTTCTCTGCATAACAGCCCTGGCTGTCCTGGAACTTGCTTTGTAGACTAGGTTGGCCTCAAACTCACTGTCTCCTGAGCGCTGGGATTAAAGGCCTGCACCACCATAGTCCAGCTCCACAGATTTTTAAACCACTCTACCTTGGTTTCTGTGTAATATTTTATGCAGCTTTCCCCAAAACTAATTCAATAAATAAGCAGAAAAAACACGCAAGCAACAGTTCCTTGTTAGACACTGGGAAGATAAAGAGCCATGGCCAAGTCTTGCCCCAGGCCTGCAAAATGCCCTGAGAGTTAGGACAATTAATTCAACCCAGAAGGAGCCAAACTTCTGCATAAAAGGAGCATTTTTCTACAGTCAAAATTCAACAACATTCACAATATATATATAATCTAAAAGTTTTGTGATGCATATGCATATAAATAACATGATTTCCATTTGTTTCTTCCAATAAAAATGAAAATACAACTTTTCTAAAAGGTACCATGGAAAATTTAACCTGCCTTCTAAGGTGTTATACAAAGGAAGCAAGAGCTTCACAAATAATATATATGTCCACCACAGGATTATTTATAATAACCAAACAATAAAAACATCTAAAAGCCAAAAATTCCACATCTGTAAACAATTAAATCACTCAATAGTAAGAATATGATTAAATTATGGCACACAAGAGAATATTACATAACCATGGGGTAATCAAAATACATTTACTGATATGGGAAAATATCTAAATTGTTAATTAAAAATTGAATTTTAAATTACACAAAACATTATAGATTCTTAATTTTGCTTGTACCTTTCTAAATTCTCCCACAATTAGAGGAAGATTTTTTTTTTGTTTTTGTTTCAAAGTCTTACAGCTCAGTGTCTGAGAATATTTTATCAAAAATGATTCTTTTGTATGGAGGACACAGGAATCAGAACCCACCACCTGCTCATAAATGAGGGCAGAAATTACTCAAATTTGTTCAATCAGGCTACCAGCTGATGCTGAGATTTTTTTTAATTACTATACTATATATAATCTCACTGTCATAGGACAGCAAGAATATAAAGTAAAAAAAGCACTAATTTTTTTTAAAATAAAGATTGTGAAATGGGAGCCAGAAAAATGGCTCACTAGGTAAAAGTACTTGCCACCAAGTTAGACTGTTTTAACTCGAAGTGAATATATCCTACAATGCTGGAACCACCCACTCACTTCAAACTAACCTTGAACAGTTTCCTCTTGAACACAAAGATGGTGTGTGTGTGTGTGTGTGTGTGTGTGTGTGTGTGCAGATAGATAGGTATCAGATCAAACCTCTGCTTCTAGGATGTGTGTACAATCTAATCTAGTAGAGAGCAGCAATGCCATAAATAAGGTCCCAAAAGAGACCTCCTGACATCTAGACACACCCGCAAGCTATACAGTACTATGAACTCAGACACAAGTAAGAAAGCTGCTCTGGGTCATAAAAAGCTACCTTCCACAGAAGTCAACTCTCTGAAATGTGTTTGAGTGAGAGCTTTATACTGTTGAAAGGCACTATCAAGTGATACATTAGAGTATTAACTGTTTTACTTATATATCCACTTAGAAGCTACAGCACAATGATCCCGTCCTCCTCGGGTTGGCAAGCACTGGGTTTTCTCACTCACACTCAAGAGTGGAGCCAAAATTAACAGCTTTGAATAGAGAGCTCTGTGCCAACGCCATGCTCTGTTCTGCTTTTTTCCATTCTCTGAGTTATCAGCGACATCAAATTACTGCCAGGAACTTTATTCCTCTCATTTTAAAAGTTAGAACAACTCACCTGGGGCAGACAAAACATGACTTGTCTACAAAAATAGTAGACAGCCAAAATCCATAAGGCTTGCTTAATCACATCACTTACATAATTTTAATTAAAAATAATAATCAATGAAAACAAATGCCACATTAACATTCCACTTCAGAATCTGTAACCCATATACTGTAAAGATTAATGTGCCAATAAAAACCAGGTACTGTTACAGCATACCAACAAATAGGCAGAGGCAGTTCTACTATCTCAGTAAAATATTTCTAAAAAGCAAATGGTACAAATGGTGCAGAAACAAAGATGTTCACTAAGCTAAAGTGGTATTAATGACTGAGACATTCAGATGCACATACAAGCTCTTCCACCGTCCTCTCTGCAGGCACTGGACACTATGTTACCTCTAAATCCTCAGGTCTCCTCTTATAAAGCTGCCACAACACCTCACGTTATACAGAGTCTAAAGGGGGTGACAAATGTGAGACTATTCTTTAAGTGAAAAACACTATGCAAACATAAATCATAGCTCTGCACTGTGACTTACAACTAAACGCTCTTCCAACTTGAGACTTACCAACAGCTATATTTAATCACTACATATACGGTCTGAAAAGTGTCAAATTTTGAAGCAAAATCTGGTGTTAATAAAGTCCTGCTGTAGAGAAACATGGCCTTTTTAAAGATTTATTTATTTATTATGTATACAGTGTTCTGCCTATATGTATGCCTGAGTGCCAGAAGAGGGCACTAGATCTCATTACAGATGGTTGTGAGCCACCATGTGGTTGCTGGGAATTGAACTCAGAACCTCTGGAAGAACAGCCTGTGCTCTTAACCTCTGAGCCATCTCTCCAGCCCCCAAACATGGCTTTTCTTCTAAATGAAAATCACCATTTTAGAGTGTGCTTTTAACACACTCTAGACATACCTACCAGAAACAATATTGCTGCTAATCATCTTTAACACACTCTAGACATACCTACCAGAAACAATATTGCTGCTAATCATCTTTAACACACTCTAGACATACCTACCAGAAACAATATTGCTGCTAATTATCTTGCCTCCCAAGGTAGCTAATGATTTGGGTACTACAGTAATGATGCTCCCACTGGTAGTTTTCACATAGGTTGCAGCTCCAGGGGTTGTGGCTACTCGACCTAAGGATGGGCTCACTGTTGGCCGGGTGTAGGTTGCCTGAGTACCTATAGGAAGTAGTGAAAAGAAAAACTGATCAAACTTTTCATCTAATAAAAAGAACTGTAACTGTAAATTTCACCATAGTTCAATGTCATATGTCACTAATAAAAAGAACTGTAACTGTACACTTTCACCATAGTTCAATGTCATATGTATCACTTTAACTTGAAAATGGAACCGCAAGGCGTCAAGATGTCCATTTACAACTTTATAGCCAGTTTTCAATGTGAACAGCAAGGACCAATGCCAAGTCTATGCTAATTAGTTCTACACATAAAATTTTGTGACGTGTTGCATCAAATTACCAGCCCAAGGAAAGGTAGAGCATTCCCTTCCCTTCTCCTGCTATCATTCTTCCACTAGTTTTTACCTCAAAGCTTAAATGTAACCGCCTTCCTGTCAAAGCCCTGTAGGTGTCTCTGTTACAGATATCTACGGTCCCTGAGTCTGTCTGATGCTGTCCCAGAGCTAAACTCAGTGACACCATTTGGCCAATTAAGGCAATATCTGTCTTATACCCTGCTATTCTCTAAAGAGATTTTCATCTTTTCAAGGACCAACCCATCATTCTACTAGAAATACAGCTGAAACTGCCAAGAACTGTCAGGAAGTTAAAAGGCTAAAATCACCTCTATTTGAGCATTTCCTCCACTTCAACTGGCCAGTTAGAAAATCTGTCTTTACATCTCTCTCCAAAGATTTTACACCTCTCCTACTATTTCTACTTTTCTCTTTCCCAGAGGATTGAAAACTCATCAGATGAGCATGATGCCCTTTCATATAAACACAGGAACTCTGAACAACTACTCCTACAAGAAGGATCAGCCTCAGGGAAAGTGAAGAGGAAAAGGAGAAAGACTAAGATGGCATTTGCTTAACCTGAAGTGAGATTCGGAAAACACTGTAACAGTTATTTCCAAAATATCCCACCTTGAAAACAATACTTTTAGGGCAGGAAGTCACATGCTGTAAAAACTTAGAACCACTACAACCACAAAAGGAACAGTAAGAAGAATTAGTCTGATCACAGAATACATTCGAACCAGGAAAAAAAAAAGTCTAGTGCAAAATAAACATGGTACAGGGCTATAAAGTTTGAATGTTTTGAATTATAACAACAACAACAAGCAAACAAAACAAAACAACTCCAGCTTCTGTTCAAAACAATTAAAGACAGAGAGACAGAGAGATAGAGATAGAGATAGAGATAGAGAGAGAGAGAGAGAGAGAGAGAGAGAGAAGGAAACAATGTTGTACTATAAACACAGAAACATGACCCGGTTTTGCTATGTATGGGTCTGGCTTTTATGTAGGTCTGGCTGGGTATTTGAACTCAGGTCCTTACACTTGCGCCTTAACAAGTTCTTTTACATACTGAGTTATCGCCTTAGCCCCTGACTTGATATCATTTAACATGTATAAGGTTCACAAAGGGTAGTTATTGAAAATGTGCTTCCCTGCTCCCCCTCAAGCACGGGAACAACGGCATGCTCCTCCAGTCTAGGCGGTCCCCACTACTCTGTGATGTGCAGACTCTTGTGAGTGACATCCTTGATGGTGGGCACGTTTTCAGCTACTCAACAAGTGCTGGCTGAGGACCTACATGTGGGGAATAAGATTTGTCCCTTATCCCATGAAGCTTGCTGTCTATGTGGATGCCACTCAACCAACAACTACATGAGTAGAAACTGGAATAACTCACCGCAATGAAGAGAACAGAGGACTATGAGGAAAAAATCAAAGAGGGCTAACTAACTTCAGGGCCGGGACAGAGTTCAGAGTCAGAAAGACCTGAAAACTGGGAGAGTGAGTGCTTCGCGTGCACCAGGCCCCTGGTCTGACCCCCAGCACCCAGGAGGTGGGGACTGGAGGATCAAGAATGTGTTCAAGGTCATCCTCAGCTTCACACAGAGTTCTAGGCTAGAGACCCTGTCTCAAAGCAAAATAAAAAGGACTTCTTTGTAGAACTATCTCATCCCTTTCTCGATGTGCAAGTCATAACGCTGGCCTGGGGCTTGTTTGATGACATGAACGGATGGCCTGATGCTTGTGAGACTTACCAGTAGGAGTAGTTACCAGCTTGGTTGTCATGATTGCACCGTTACTGCTAACCACCATAATAGGGGAGTTGCTACTGGTGGGTAGAGTTGCAGTCACTGGTTTGGGTAAGATTTTACTTGGTTGAACCTGCTGTGTGATGATTTTAACACCTTTGAAAGAAAAAAGATAAATCTCAGTACAGATAATTGTAAAAGAGCCGGGCGGTGGTGGCGCACGCCTTTAATCCCAGTACTCCGGAGGCAGAGGCAGGCGGATCTCTGTGAGTTCGAGACCAGCCTGGTCTACAAGAGCTAGTTCCAGGACAGGCTCCAAAGCCACAGAGAAACCCTGTCTCAAAAAAACCAAAAAAAAAGAAAAAGATAATTGTAAAAGAATGCCACTTAGCCCAATAGGGCAACAGTTACACACGTCTACTGAGCCTCACTCTAGAGATGCTTCTTTAACACTGATGAAACTCTAAGCTTTCGTTGCTCAAATTTCTCTCCTAAATCCTCCCAATGCAAGAATGCAGCTATATTATTTTAACAGATTTCTTAAAACTAAACCTGAACTTTTATCTATAATACGAGTTTTCAAACGAGTTAGCGAAAGCAAATAATCTGTTTCATCCAAGTACTTGAGAAGAAAGGACTAGCATGAGGCATCACGAGCAGTCCACACAGCCCTTCCAGCAGCAACAAAGACGTTTCGTGACTCGGAACTGACGTGATAAGCTGATAAACAGTTAACAGGCTAAGCACAGTTTTTGTTTGATTTGTTAAACGGCTGACTGATCTCTCATTTGTTTTATATTGAAATAGGATCTTATTATATAGCCATGGATGGCCTGAAACTCACTGACTAGTCCAGCCGGGCCTGGAACTACAGATCTTACTGCCTTTGCCTCCTGGGTGCTGGGATTACAGATGTGTGCCACTATGCCCAGCTTAAAAATCTTTTCATGCTTTTGTTTTTGTTGTTAGAACTGTTGAACCCAGGGATTCACACATGCTAGCCAAGTGCTCTTCACTAAGCTATATCCTGAAGTCCTAAAACAGCCTTCTGAAAAAAAAAATATTTTGTTTGTTCGGCTTTTTTCAAGACAGGGTTTCTCTTTAGCTTTGGGGTCTGTCCTGGAACTAGCTCTTGTAGACCAGGCTGGTCTCAACTCACAGAGATCCACCTGTCTCTGCCTTCTGAGTGCTGGAATTAAGGTGTGCGCCACTACTGCCAGGCTCTAAAAAAAAGTATTTTAATAACTCACTTTATCAAATGCAGAATGCCAAAAGAGGCCACACCAGTACTGCACCTATATAAAACATGCATGTGAAAAAGAATTCAAAGGCGATATGCAATAAAAACAATAAAAATGTTAAAGAAGCTATACTGGGACTTTTTAATTTTTTTAATTTTTATATTTACAATGTTATGATGTTTACACTGGCTTTCCAAACATAAAGTATTCATTAAAATGCATGAGATCTAGCTACACTTCTAAATCAGTGGTAACTAAAGAAGGAAAATTTAGTACCATTTCTCAATTGCCAATCTTTTAAAGAAAATACAGAAAAAAATATTCTCAACACAGAAAATTAAGAACTGCATTATTTCTGGTGTAGTGTGATAATTTATCTTGACTGTCAATTTGACAGAATTTAGAATCACCATGGGAGCAAACCTCCGGGCTTGCCTGGAGGAACTTTCTGGATTAGATTAAGAAGGACGACCTACACTTCCTTGGCTCATCCTGGACTGAATAAAAAGGAGACAAGAACCGACCAGCAGCACCGCCCACTCTGCTGCTTCTCTGAGGACGCAATGTCAAGCTCCGGCCACCACCACTTCCCCACCACAGTCTCACTTCAAGTAAGTAAGCCCTTCCTTTCCTAAATGGCCTCTGTCACAGCATCAAGGAAGCAACCAATGCAGGCGGTAGCTTAAACTGAGAAATTACAAAACAGGTCTACCTATTTAGTAGCTTTAAGTAATTCTAAACTTCTACTAGCTAAGAAAGAAATTAAAATTACAGTATCTGGGCATAATTAGGTAAGTAACAACTCTTGTGACTATTTTTTTAATCTACAAAATAAAAATCAATTAGTATATACCTCAAGGCTATTATTGTAAGGATCAAACAAACTTGTAAAGTTTCTAATACATGTTGAATTCAGTAAGTATTATGGAAACAGTTCTGAATATAATGAACCATAAGCAGTAAGGTCATCCAAGGAAAATTATTTCTAATATTTCTTACTAATGAACAATAATCCTGTATAATGTCCATGCAGAAAGAGGCTCCAAGAAATAACCACACACACAAAAATTCACAAAATCAAAAGGCAATTCTACTCAGTCCTATGCAAACCAACTGACCATGAAAGAGAAAGCCAACCACATAAACACATTTCCAAAGAGGATCTTAAGAACTCTGACCCTCTCAGAAAGTGGCAGGCCTGGGAAGCCACCCTCTAAAGGACTAAGTCACTCTGGAGCGCTACGTCTAGTGGGATGGCGTCAGGAGCTCTTCAGTCCACACAATGGACTAATGGAGTTACAAAGCAATCACCACTGAAAGGCTCTGGGGACCACAGGGCAGCCCATGGGTCAGAGAACTGACATCAAGCCTGATCATCTAAGTTCCATCCCAAAGACTCACATGGCGGAAAAAGAGAACCTATTCATGCAAGGGATACTCTGACTTCCACATGCACACCACTGGCACACATGTAGGCACAAACACATGTTCTTACTCAGAACATGTGCACATACACACATGTACACACCAAATATAAATAAAATGCAATTAAAAAGAATGTTCTGTGTGGTGGTTTGAAAGAAAATGGCCCCCAAAGAGAGTGGCACTATTAGGTGTGGCCTTCCTGGAGGAAGTGTGTCACTGTGGGCTTTGAAGTCTCATAAACGCTCAAGCCACGTCCAGAGAGGAAAAACCACTTTCTGTAGCCTGCATATCAAGGTGTAAAACTCTCGGCTTCTCCGCCCCGTGAGCCTGTATGCTGCCATGTTCCACCGTGATGATAATTTACTAAACTTCTGAACTGTAAGTCACCTCATGAAACGTTTTCTTTTATCAAAGTTGCCATGGCCATGGTGTCTCTTCACAGCAACAGACACCCTGACTAAAACACTCTGGAAAGGGGTTTTACGGCAAATAGCAAACAAAGAAACGTCTACCCAACCAAACCCAATAGTTAAAATCACGTTCCGTGACATCTGAGACAAGACCGTTTCTCTTTCCCCTCCCTCAGCTCTGCAGTTACAAAGAGCATGGTCCCTTCTGCACAGCTCTTAGCCAGAGGACATTCTTTTCAGGAGAAACAGGACTTCAGCTTATCCTCCTCACAGCTGCTTAACGCCAACTGAAATACCACAGAGAATTTCCAATCCATAGTAGAATCCAATAGAAACAAATACCAAAAAAAGGACCACAAAACCCTCTAAACATCTGGTAATAAAACAGCAGCCCTCGTGCATTTTTCCAGTTACCTGACTCCTGTTTGATCTGAATGGTAGGCTTGATGCCAGGTGGCAACGGTGACTGCTGTGGCTGCTGCTGCTGAGACCCTGAGGAAGGCTGGGCCACGGGCTGCTGTGTCTGCTGCTGCACTTGCTGCAGCTGCTGCTTAGGAGACTGCTGATGCTGTTTAGGAAACTGTGCGAGAATCTGGGTAGGGGCACTCACTAAGCTTTTGGGGGAAGGAAGTCTTGTCGATGCCATTTTGATTGCTGATGTGGATACACCTACAGAAAAGTAAAGAAGATTTAGGGCTTTTGGGATTTTCGGATTTCGGCTCAGAGGAAGCCACGGTACAACTTTCTTCAGTCATTCCAAATTGGGTTCACCCGACACCAGCCGCCTCCACCATGCAACCCAAGTATGACCCCTGACAAGATCAAAGTCATGCACCTGATGTGCACTGGAGGTGAGGTCAGCGCCATCCACCTGGGTGCCAAAATTGTCCCTCTGGGTCTGTCTCCAAAAAAGGTTGGTGATGAAATTGCCAAGGCAACTGGTGACTGGAAAGGTCTGAGGATTACACTGAAACTGACCATCCAGAACACAGAGGCCCAGGTTGAGGTGGTACCCCCTGCCTCTGCCCTGATCAAGAAGCCTCCAAGAGACACAGAGACGCAGAAGAACATTAAACACAGTGGAAATATGGAAATATCATGTTCCACAAGATCGCCCACATTGTCAGAGATCTTTCTGGAACTATTAAAGAGATCCTGGGTACTGCACAGTCTGTGGGCTGCAATGTGGATGGCCGCCACCCTCATGGCATCAACAGTGGAATGCCCAGCTAGTTAAGAAGCAACAAGAGAAAATATTTCAATAAAAAACTATCTGATAAAAAAACAAAAACATCAGCCAACTAATGTCTTGGGAACACGAAGGATCAAATGTAAAGTCAACTATTATTAAAAAAAAACAAAAAACAAAAACATTTACTAAGTAGACTACCTACAGTGCCCACTCTTGGTTATATTACAGTCTTGCTTCATTGACAAGCTTCTAGTTTTTCTGTAACCACCTTACTTATTTTCATTGTAGTCTAATTCTAGTATCACTGCTGGCTGCTATTCTAACTCTTTCTTCCCTTTCTAACAAAGCAGCATCTTTCCCCTTGAGAACCCACAGTCCTGGGCATTGGCATACACTTCCAGGGAAGCCTGTCCCTAAGTCAGCTCTAGAGGATAATTCTCAATTGACCTAAGCTTGCCATGGTACTCCATTACTTTTCCAGCAATAAGGTAAAACTAGTTATAACCAACATGCTATGAGAGGAATCTTCCTGGAGAACATCTAGGTAAGGTATTCTCTCTTTTCTAGGATTTTTTTGTTTTCCCTTGGTATTTTCATGGCTATGGTGCCTACAATGTATGCATCTAACCAACAGCAGAGTTACCCAAGGGAAAAAAAAAATTCCTTACTGGCCCAATGATTCACCCAACTTAACTGAAGACTTCTGTCTTATGAACTTCTGAAATAGTAAAGCTTCTTAGAACACCAATCAGTCAATCGGCGCTTACTTATGTGCAGTCATTCATTCAATCACTCTTCACATTTTGCAAATAAATTTAGACATTAATCCAGTCAGACTCAGAATAAGTAATTTATTATACATTTGGATGCACAAAAGAATGAAGGGAATACTACTAAATCAAACATGTTAGTCTACCTTTGGAAGAATTATGAATGAAGCTACATTAATAATAATTTTGGTTAAATATGTGTTATGGTTTAAGTATATACCAGAGTCCACGTATTAAAATTCAACCCCAATGTAAAGTCTTAAAAAGCTGGAAAAGTCAACTGACTTAGTGACTACAGTTTAGAACAGAGCCTTTAGAACACCATAAAACTAAGCACGGTAGTCTGGACTACTGACTGAGGATCAGTGGCTTTTTAAGAGAAGGCACACACATGCACTCCTTTCCTCTTGCCATGTGACCTCTGTGTACGCTCCTGAAGCTCTGAAAGTACATCACTAGATGCAAGTTCCTGAGCTTAGATTTTCAAACCATAAGCCAAAATAAACCATTTTCCATTATAAAGTTACCCAGCCTGAAATACTCCATTACACCAAACACAATATAAAATAGTTGAAAGCTGCAACAGGAACTTTAGGGATAGAATGACACCCCAAAACCGTTTTTATGTAAGAAATTGTAAAGTTGGGCCAAAGAGACAGCTCAGGGGGTGAAGTATTTGCTGTGTAAGCTTGATGCTCTGATCTGATCCCCAAAGCCCACATAGAGGCGGAAGAAGAGCAGCAACTCCACAAAGCTGTCTTCCTCCTGATGTTAAATGTGGACAGTCATAAAATTGGGAGGACAGGGAATCTGACAAGGACAGAACCCTATGGAGTAAGAGAGAAGAACAGAGATTTCTTCAGAGCTGGTCTAAATATAATGAAAGAAACAATACCAGCAGGTACAACATAATTGGAAACAACGTACGGCATAAGCTGAAACAGGCTCGAGATAGGAGATCTAAGGTCAGCAGAAGACTGTCACACCATTGTGAAAGGAATTCATGAAATCCATAGAAAACATGAGGAAAACCACAAAATGAAAGAAAAAGAACTTCTTACTACGTAAGAGAAGGTAGCAACAGAATAAAAAATGCAACCAACCTAACTAATTTGCAACGGCCCATTCTTTGGTCTTTGGAGAGCAAAAGAACATACCTGAGATGACCAAAACGTTAGTTACAGCTTGAGATCTTGAGCAAAAATCCAGAAGAACCAAATAAGGAGCAATCCTCTAACAATAAACTGTTTTCAAACACACAGAAAACATACCAATTCACACCTCTCTCTATGATACCAGCACCAGACTTTCAAATACCAAATCACACATGCACAACAGCATGTACAATACGCTGTGAACCTTCCCCTAAGGAAAAGCCTAAGCGTGTGTCTATCTGCTTCCATGTTATAAATGGAAGAACTTAGAAAGGACAGAACAAGGTGCAGGAGGTCAGAGAAGAGAAAACTGTAAACACTTCATTCTCAGGCTAAGGGAGGGCGAGCAGGGAAGTCTTCGCTGACCTAATACACTTTGTCTCTCTCTCTCTCTCTCTCTCTCTCTCTCTCTCCCCCCCCTCTCTCTCTCTCCCTCTCTCTCTCTCTCTCTCTCTCTCCCTCTCTCTCTCTCCCTCTCTCTCTCTCTCTCTCTCTCTCTCCCCTCTCCCCCCTTCCCTCCCTCCCTGTTGTCTTCAAACGTCCCCCAACACAGGGACAGAACTAAACAGTGGCTCTCCACTCACCTTGTGCTACTGTTGACATGACCACAGACGGTGTGGAAGACACCACAGCTGTCACTGCAACTGTACTAGAAACAGGTGATGGCGTGGAACTGCTGTTGCCACTGCTGCTACTGGTGACCAGAGAGGACTGTGATGCAGTTATAACAACAGGTGGCTTCTGAGTTGTGGACGCAATGACTGATGTTGGTACAAGCTTAGTGACTGCTGCATAGTTATGGGATTTGGAGAGAATGTTGGGCACGAAGGTTGAACTTGGTGATGTGGTCACTATGATAACCTAAAGGATGAAAGATAAGTTATTTTCATGTACCTACTATAGACTATCAGTGTATTTAAACTCATATAATTTAAAACTAGTTTTGCAATAGGAAAAACAATTCAACAGAGAGGAATATACAGTTAATTGAACTTATATGAACACTTTCCTTTACTGGCAATCATCAAAACTACACCAATCTCCAGCAAGTAATTTAAGAGGCACTGTTCAGTATTGTGCAGGATGTGGCTGGCTCTGGGAACATCCCAGTACACCATTCGGGGAATGAACCCACACCATCACATGAGCAAGTAATCTGGAGATGTGTTCACCTGTAAATACTTATTGAGCATCTACTATGTGCCAGGCATGGTCCTAGACGCTGAGAAAACAAGAATGAACAAGACTCACTTGCATGGAGTATACATTCTAGTGCAGAGAGAGAAATAAAAACATACATGACATGTAGAAACAAATGGAAGAGACAATCAGCCAGGGTAAAGAAAGAAGGACGGTTAGAGTGTATAAACTTCTCAGTGAAGAGCTCTCTGTGAGGTGACATTTCAGCAGAAACCAGAACGAGGTATGAACCATGTGCTAGTCATACTTAGACAGACGCTCAGTGGCATGGGGAGTGGGAAACAATAGCTCTGAAGACAAAAGCAAGCTTTGGATCCTCTATGGGACACACTGGCGTTGATAAGGCACACAACCATGGAGAAGTGATGGAGGACCAGACAATGGAAAGTCCTGACAGCTCACGCCATGCCAGCAGCAATACTTCTCTGTCATCTTCCTCCATAACGTTCATAACCTTATTACCTAATAAGGAGAAGAACATCAAGCAAAGTCTAGGAGTGAGGCTAACTAAAACACCTGGCCTGTCAAAGTTATTTAAAAAAAAAAAAAAAACTAGGAAAATCTGAGAAAGCTTCACAGTGAGAAGTGTCTAAGGAGACAGGCAAACAGAATGTGGCATCCTGGGGGGGATCCTGGAACAAAGGACAGGAAGGAAAACCCAAGGAAATCCAAATAAACTATGGTCTTAGGTTAATATTAATAATGCATTATTACTGTAAGTTAAAACAATGCATCATACAAATAAAAATATTAACAGGGAAAGAGGTGTAAAATATGCAACTTCTACAAATTTTCTGTAAATCTAAAACTTCTCAAAACTGAATCTATTTTTTAAACGTATCTGTCTGCGGATGGAAGCTACAGCAGGCAGTAACAGCAGACATAGACAAACGAGGACTTCCTATGACAACCAGCAGACACAGTGGCGACCACCGTTACTTACACCTTCTAAGTGGACCTGGAAGGCCAGGTTTAGCCAGTAAGGCTGAGAGACCATAGAGTAAGCAGCAGTGCAACTCAGAGAACAGCATGGAATAAAAGACCCATGGCCAGAACCACCCGGTGTGCTGAAGACAGAGAGGAAAGCAGTGCAGAAAGCCTACAGTAAAGAGGGTTATAAGCAGAAGCTGATCAACATGAAAGCCAGACTAAAGTATCTGGATGTCATATTAAGAACAATTAAGCCATGGGAAGATTTTAAGCACAGAAACAAGGTGTGATATCTATTTAAAAAGATCATTCCCGTTGCCATGAAGTGAGAGGCAAGGTAGAAGCGACTCCAGCAGGCCAGAAGAGAAGTGGCAGCAGTCTCCTGGGCTGGGGGTTATCAGAAAGGAAGGGAAGTGATCAGATTCAAACTATTCTGACAAGCAGAGAAACTGAAACTTGTGGAGTTCCTAGAGCAGAACCAAGAAAAGCTCCCAGAGCTGATATGTGCACATTTTATTTAGTTGTCCCCGATCCCATGACACAGACACTATTATTATCCCCATTTCACAATAAAGAACATAAAAACTACTTATGCTTTGGTGGTACACATCGCAGCTTTATTTTGGGGTGAGTAAGCAGTGTAATAGTAATACCCAGTTTTTTCACTATAATCATTTGTGCCTACCTAGACAGAACAAATTGTTTTGAAAAAATCCAAAGAAGTTATGGGAGAAATTCTTTTAGTTTTACATTGGTCCTAAAGAAAATCTGAAGTTAAATCAGTCAAAAATTTTCTGAGTGAGTCTGTATTTGGTATCTACATCAAGGAAACATAAACCATACCATCCCTGCATATTTTCAGTGTAACAAAGAACTTAAGACATGAGCACTTGTCCAGTACGTTAAGGAGTCTGCTGTTTAAGCAGACATGTGGAGAAAGCTGGTGAGTGTAAGCACACGCAGGCTGGAGTAGCAAACAGTATGCCGTACTATTATACAAACTGACAAGTGTACCAATACGCCAATAGGTCATACGCTTCAGAGTCAAATGAGCCTGCACTTAGAGCATCCTGCCTCTGCCACTTTCAAATGACAGGCCCCAGACATGTTAAAATCTTTAGGCTCCAATTTATTTTTTCTATAAAACAGGGATAATAATTCCAACCTTACAAAGTCAAGACAAGGATTGGATGATACAATCACTGAAGCATCTACTAGGCACATAGCAGGTGGTCAATACGACAGCTAACAAATGGTGCTTACTAGACGCTCACTGTCCCTATTTAATGTAGATGGATACAAATAAAGCATTGTAGACCACTTCTATCCAGAAACAATATGGAATATTCTGTGTTTGTTTTATTAGAAACATGTTCTTTCCTTCCCTGCCTAAGTCTGATATCCCTGAGTATGCAAAGAATCCACAGCTACCAGACCCACAATAATAGGGTATTAAAGGCAATTTGGTTTCACTTTTGCCAATCCTGAAGCACTAGCCACAGCTTCCAAGAGGCACAATGCTGATGGCTGCGGTACAAGAGGATTCTCCAGGTCTGGCAGGAAAGGGAGAAGGAAGTATGTAAAGCTCAAGTATCTGAAACTTCAGAAGAAAGGCAGGATTCTAACTTAAGAAGGAATAAATCAGCTGGAGAGATGGCTCAGCACTTGAGAACACTGGCAGCTCTTCCAGAGGTCCTGAGTTCAATTCCCAGCAACCACATGGTGGCTCACAACCATCTATGAGATCTGGTGCCCTCTTCTGGTGGGCAGGCACACATGCAGCCAGAACATTGCATACAAAATAAATAAATAAATAAATTTTAAAAAAAAGAAAGAATAAATCTAGGGTCTCCAGAAGCACATGTAGATTACAGATACAAATGATAAAACATACTTTGAGATTTCAATACACAAATGATTTCTGATCTGTATAGGGCTTTGCTTCCCGAACTTGAGTTCCACCCTGGAGAAATCACTTACACTTTAAAGTTGCTTATTACAACAGGGGAGATTAAAAGGTTTTGAAGCCAAGTGAACCAGACAGTGTTTCTTCAGGCCATAATTCAAATTACTGACCTTCTAGCACTCACAAAAACTCCTTAAGAGTGCTGGGACTTGCACCCTAAGGACAGAATGAAAAATATCAATCAAGCACATGAAAGCATAAAGCTATATTCTGTTGCTGTTTGCATCTGTGCCGCATCAATGTTGTTTTAAATGAGTCATAGTCACATACGTGGAAATGTACCTATGCTGAAAATGCACAACCTATTTATTTAAATGTGAATACCGTTTACAAAATCAGAAACAATTATACTTAATGTAAAGTCACTTTACTATATAATTAATTGTTAAGTTGACTTAAATACAAAGTGTAAGAAATCCAAGGTAAATACAATTAGGACAACAGCCTTGGATAAAAATATTTTTTTTAAATCCAATTACCCAGAAAAAAAACAAAATAAAGCATGGAAAGTGTATTTCTTAGTCCTCGCCACTCTCTAGTTGTCCAGAAGGCTTTAAAGCAGATGTCAGAGGAGGAGTGACGTAGGAGAGCACAGCAGATGCTCAGCAGTTATCTGTGGAATAAATGAGTCCTAGTTTTTATTTAATTTGCCTTAAATGATTATTTTGTTTAAAACACAAGTAAATCTAAATCTTTAAATCTGAAGATTCATGGTATGACCTATACATGAATTTGGAAAGAAATGAGCCTTCTTAAAAGCATGAGTCCGACAACCTGAAATACTCATCCTCCCCTCAAAATCCTGACGACACAAAAAAGTCAGTAAGGAGAAAGAAGAAGAGAAAGTGAAAACAAAGCACCCAGACTCCACTTACAGGGAGCCCCATCTGTTACAAACCTTTCTCAAGTAAAATCTACCAAAGAAGATTAGAAAGTTAATGATGTGAAGCCATGTTTATTAAGCACTCACTGTGTAGGCTATAATTATTTTAGGTGAATAATCTCACCTAGTTCTCCTGGCAACTCTTAAGAAGAACTAATGTAACTTTTGTTTTAAAAGGAAACAGGTTCAAGGAGTTGTTAGCAGAGGGCCAGTGATACACACAGCTCTGGGGAAAATGACCAAACAGTACTGGGTCAGATCTACTTATGTGTGGACTGATTTGCTCATTTATTAATTCATTCATTCATTCAACAAATATTAACTAGCATCCAGCATAGCTAAAACACTGTTCAAAATACTAGGGAATATTGTAATGAATAAAACAGAAATCTAAGCTATTCTCAGTAGTTTATGGGAGAAATAGAAAATAAACTTGTAATTTATAACATCAACTACTTAACAAACTTCATAAATAAAAATGAAGTAAGATTTAACAACCTGAAGCACAGTCGTATAATAGTCAGTTGGTGTCAAGGACAGCTTAAGATGGAGCTAGGGATGATACAGCTCAGAGGTAGAATACTTGTCCAGTATATACAAGTCCCTGCATTCACACACATGGGTGCGCACGCGCGCACACACACACACACACACACACACACACCTACAAAAAGAAAAGGGATTCCATACCACCATATAAAAAGTGGCCTTAACCAAGAAAAAATGCAAACATGTTCAATAAACACTGAAACCATCAAAGACAGTTAATTTCAACGTATTAGTGGATAAGTTTCAGTGAACCAGTAGATTCAGACATCTGAAATAGTTCGTTATTATTAGTGAAATGTTGACTTCCAAAAACAATTTGCAAAGCAAAAGAGCTCGCATTTTTAGGTACGTGTCCTGTGGCACATCTTAAATATTCAACCTCACGTAACTCTTGTAATAGTCTCTGACTTGGCATTACTCTTGTCCCTTAGAGAAGACTCAGAAACGTTTACTATCTCATGTAACACAGCTACTTCCACATTGACTCTAGAGTACTGGGAGTCAAGTTTATAATACTCAAAGCAGGAAACTGGAAGATTCTTGCCGATGAACCTGACCACCCTAAGGACAAGTAGCAGAGGGACAGGGTAGTTAATGTCAGTTTCATATATAAGCTGACTGCCAGATACTTAAGGAAATTCTGAAAAGAAAAACATCAAGTAATACAATGAACTAGTCAAGATAAAGAACATGAGGGCTGGAGAGATGACTCAGAGGTTAAGAGCATTGCCTGCTCTTCCAAAGGTCCTGAGTTCAATCCCCAGCAACCACATGGTGGCTCACAACCATCTGGAATGAGGTCTGGTGCCCTCTTCTGGCCTGCAGGCATACACACAAACAGAATATTGTATACATAATAAGTAAATAAATAAATATTTTTAAAAAAAAGATAAAGAACATGAAAAAAGAAAAGCAAACCAAAAGACTTATAAATATAATCAAATAAAAGAATACAATCATCCTACCAAAAAGCAGGCTATTATTTTTAAAAAGAAAAATAAGGGCCATCTAACAGAAGAAGGAAGAGTTATTAGAAATTTCAAGTATGATGGTTGCCAAGGATGTTAATGCAATCAGGCATTCAGATCAGCCGCGCTACATAGTGAGTCACAAGTCAGACTGAACTAAATAGTGAGATAATTTCACCAAGAAAAACAGAATATTATAGCAAAAATGAACAATTCCATGCAAGTATTACAGGATACTAATCAAGGGTACAGAAAGTGGCGATACACATTCACCACGCTAGGGCCTCTTCTAACATCTTCACATATATTACTTGCTATATCCAAAGCTCTTATAGACACACTGGGCTCTCCCCCTCTATTTCACAGAGAAAGCCTAGGTAATAGAGTTTAGTTTCCCCATGGTCAAAAAAGCTAATGGCAAGCTGGATGAAAATCAAGGAAATCTAGATTTCAAAACCCCTACACCAAGCCACTGTTACAGTGGGGGGAGGGGGAACGGACGGACATGGAAAATAGGAATGAATAGTAAGAGCAAATCAGAAGATCAATTCAGAAAGTTCCACATTCTCAGTAAGTGGCCCACAGAGGAAATGTAGAACATCAAAGAGTTAGCCTAAGAACTTGTGAGGACTGAAGGCAGGCGTGTGCAGCATAAAAGCTCTGGTGACAACCTGAGGGCAACTCCACAGAGTCTCCAAAGGTGAAAGTAGAAGCTAAACAACAGAATGGCGCTGGGCATCTCAAGAACACTGGTGGAAGCTGGAAGCCAAGTGAACAATGTCTTTAAAACTCTCAGGGGAAGCTTCCCTTTGTACACACAGGGTCTCAAAAAACTTCACAGTCACTAACATACTGGGAACCTCCTAAAGGACATGCTTCAGTAAAATAAATAATCTAATAAAAAGGGAAGAACAGAAAGATGCTCAAAAGGAAACCAGAGAAACACAGGTGTAAAATCAGTGTCAGGTCACCAGAATCCACACTAGCGTGTGAAGACTGGGGACTGCAAGAACATGGAATTGACAGAGCACCAGCAACAAGGTTGGAAGTGGACGCATGGCAGCACACACAGAATAAAAGGGAGAATACATTTACTCACTTACCCATACCCCTTCTCTTTCCTAACTCTATTGGCAAAGCAAAAGTGTCCTAAACACAAGACCACATAAACAAAGACTTTAAAACTTTTCTAGTTTGTTTCAAAACAGCATTATAATTATCAAATACAACGTAAGTCTAGAAGCAGACGTGACAGCTGTCACCTTGAGCAAGCCTCATCTTTAAAAAGGGGATGGTAATACCTATCGCAATGCCTTCTGTGCAGATTAAACGAGAGACATGAGCGCCCATCAACTCTAAAGCACACTACGGGAAAGAGACAGCGACTGGGAGCCCCTCCACCACATACCTTCTGTGTGGTTGTGTTTGTCGTCTGTGTGGATGGTTTGGTGAAAGTTATTTTCACAGGTGACATGTGGGGCGGTAAGGAGTTGGCAATGCTCTGCATAATGTTGCTCATCTTGGGACTGCCACTCACAGGCACAGTGATAGTCTTCGAAACCGGAACGACAGCCTTTGGAACTTCCTTCAGAACCACAGGAGAAGAACCAGAAGAGTTTGTCCGCCTGCGTTTTCTGGGTTTTTCATCTTCATCTGAACAGCTGACACCTGAAAGACAACGATAATATTCCTACTTACACAAAACTAGCACTGCCTCTTACACATTAATTGTTAAAAATGTCTATGCCAATCTTTGCCTCTCCCTTTCCTTTAATTATTTTAATGTTTATTTGATGTGCATTGGTGTTTTGCCTACATTTGTATCTGTGTGAGGGTGTCAGATCTGGGAGTTACAGACAGTTGTCAGCTGCCATGGGAGTGCTGGGAATTGAACCTGGGTCCTCTGGAAGAGCAGTCAGGGCTCTTAAGCACTGAGCCATCTCTGCAGTCCCACCTCTCCCTTTCTTTTACGCCCAATCTACCATTAAGTTCTACAACTTTCCCTCAGAAAAGTTGTTTATCTGAACATGCACCATCTTCTCCTTAAACTACTCCTCCACTGGGAGCTTCTTGTCTCTTTTCTGTATTTTATCGAAAAACCTCCTAAAAGATGCTCCTGCATCTTCACACTTCTATTCTACACTTGTCTATGCTACAGCAAATCAGGAAATTTCACAACCTAAAATTCCCTAAGTTTGTATTTATTTCCCTATCCTCCAAAATCCCTGCCAGACCAAACTTCAAGGAACCCTATCTTTTCAGGCACACAATACCAACATCCTAACCCAGTGACCCCTAAAATTGTGACCAACTAAGCTTCTCACCATTGCCCAAAACTGCTTCAGCACCCTCTTATCTGAGTCTGTCTATCAAAGACCTCTTCTTCATCCTGCTAACCTCACCGGGTAAGCCTCCCCTTTCTCCTCTGAGTAAGCACATAGAGCACTTTGTCCACCCTCTCCTGTGCCACTTACCACGTGACAATCTGACTGTCTAACGAGCTCTCAGACAAGAAAGACAACAACTATTTGGTCTCTCTGGTACAGTGACTTGCACAAAGGCGGTGAATGAATAATAAAAACTAACATTGCTTTTGAGTATAAAATGTAATTTGAAAGTGCATTACTTTGTGAGATAGTTTCTTCATGTTTGAGATTCACTAAGTGTAGTTTTAAAAATGATTTTTAAAAACTAGGCCCTGACAGTCATTTCTAAGACCACATTGGACAGCTGGATGATATGTGGAGTAAGTCAAGAAGACAACGCAAAGACTGGAATTCAGGGAAACACCGAATAGGCACATAAGCACATGCCTGCAGTCCCTACTCATGTCTGTGTTCCGCAGCCGTCAAAGATGAGGATGGCTAGGACAGTACTGTGCAAAGGCAGATTTCCCACAGAGCAAAAAATGATGGCATTTCTCAAATTCCAGAACTGAGGAAAGAGCCAATACCTAGTCATATATACAGAAAAGAAGTCTTTAGAACCTTCAAAAACTAACCACTGAAAACAGTTTGTGACCTGTGACTGATTCCAGAAAAGCAGGTCTAAGCAAAGCTTAGACTGCAGCATTTTGTCCAGAGGGCCTGGTAACACTGAGACATCACCTACTTTTGACAGATACAGTACTTCCACTTGGCAAGACAACTACATGGAGGCAGGACTGGCAGGACTTGGAGACTTAACCACTGCTATGCTGCCACTTGGAACAGGGTAGAGGTTGGGTTTGACGTGGTACTTGTGTAGGAATAGCAAACCACTACTGAAGAAATTATTTTTAAAAAAAAAGAAAAGAAAGTTTGCTGTTAACTTTCACCACAACTGTCCAGACATACAGAGAAACTGCTTTTCTTGTAGGCCAACTTTACCATTCTCATGTGATCAGAAGATAGATGCTAGTACAAGGTACCAGACTCAAAGGCTAAAGACTATTTTGAAAATCACTGGGTAAGTGTTCTCGAGTATTAGCAGCCTGTCAAGAGGTAACAGAGAATGGCGGAGAGTGGGAGTACAAAGCAGTCAAGTTTAACCTTGTTGAGAAAAAGGAAAACCATTCCTCATAACAGCAAGATGTGGACAGACACAAACCTGAGGTACTCCTTATTACCAACAGCGGCACCAACGAGGCTAACTCTCCCTAACCACAGCAATTCCCAAAGCCCGTACAGGAGGAGAAACAAGTGACTCTTCTGTCATCTGCCAACCAAGTGCAAGAATAACTTAAACTAATCAAATTCCAACCTCCTTCTCACTCAGAACACCAACAACAGCCTGGAGCTACCATGCCCCGAGTGCTTTCCATCACCATCACCGTTATGGACTCTCACACTCCACCCCCCTTTAAAGATGAGGAGCCCAGACATAAGACTTGCTGAAAGTCACAGAGCTAGAAAATGACAAACTCAGATCCAAACACCAATTTTACTATTAAAAATCCAACTTTCTTCCCATTCTACCAACTAGCAAAAGAAAAAGGTCAAAGTGGGAAGAGAAGAAATATAACTACAACAACGAAGAAAACAGGAACCCAGCAGAGCTGAGTTTGCACAGATAACTGCCTCCCTGAAAAATGCAGCTTTCTCTGGCACAGAGCCAAGCCGGGCCGAGAATGACAACTGTCTCACTCAACACAAAACTTGTCTCACCACTAGACAAGACAAACCATGTCTCAAAGGAATCTGGCAAACACACTGACTTTAGAGTAGCTTCTGATCCAAGCACACTCTCAAATTTAGTGCCATCTTGGTGAGAAAATGCAAAGATTGGTTAAAGCATGTCAATCACACAAGTAAGGGACAGTAAGAAAGTGCTCACTGACTGGAACAGCGAACCTACATGTACCATTGATTCCAAAGACAAAAACAGTTTTATTTTTCTAGAGCTATCAGCATCCAAACCAAAAAAAATAAACAAAATAAGACAAATACCAGAAATTCCATCGGAGAAAACTTTTTCTGTAATTAAGATAATTTTCCCTTTGAAGTAAAGAAATCTGATTTTGATGGAGATTGAAAACCTGGCAGTTTCTAGCTTCAGATAAAGATACAACAATCTCATAATTTTTAGCACTTACTAAAAAGACAGAAAGCCCTGCAAAGAGCCACCCCCAGCAGCAGCGCTCCTACTTACCTTCTTTGCTGGCTGTCTCTGCAGGCACAGGAAGGGACGCATTGTGCTGGACAGCTGCGTTGGCCACAGCATTTGCTGTTACAGTGAAGGCAGTCTGGGGAACCAGCCGGGGCATCAGTGGTACCAATCTACGCCCTTCAATGGACCATTCTGAAGAGCTATTAGGTCCAGACATACTAAACAAAAGAGAAAATGCTGCTACAAGGGTGCGCACTTGCTAAAAATGAGTCAAACACACACCATTTTTAAATGATTAAAAAGTGCCCTGAATTCTGGAGAGGCTTCATTTTAAGCAAGCAAAATCAAACTTAGGTACAATTAAATTCAAGGAATGCCACACACTGAGGTTCTTACATACTTTATTCTTTAGTCTGAATATAACTATGAAAAATTTTTCTATGCTTTGAAAATAAAAATTGGTATTAGTTTTATGAAATTGGGTTTTGCAAATGAAAACAAATATTTCTACTAATAAAATTAACTTTTAGAGCTTAATTTTGTAATTATACATGAAAGCAAAAGCACTGATAGTGTTAAGAATCAGACTTTCTTTTACAGTTAAAGGTGGAAGTCAATGAATCTTTGCAAAATTTCCTAACTGCCCGCATGGCCAGAGATTCTAAAGGCTTTCAAACACAGAAAACTGAGGCAGTAAACGAGAGGAGTTAGTAGGAGGGAAGCGACTGTACATGAAGGCAGGTGTCGCTGATTAATATTCACTGCATTTTTATATTATCACCCTTCCTGCTTCCTGCTATAACAAGAGAGCGGAACTGAGGCTGTTGAAAGAGATCCACCACTGTTCACCTTTATTTGTATGGTGTACCCTGTACCCTAAAAGGCACTTGAGACAACTGGACCCTCTCTCTCTTTCTAAGACATTCTTAAGTCTCCCTGCTTTAGACTTCTTGAGTAAGTTTTGTTCCAGAAATCAGACAAGAGGCTAAGATATCAAAAGACAGCTGCCATATCGCTAACTTGGCTTCATGAAACACCCTAATGATTAGTGTCAAGGTTTAAAAGTAATCCAGACACAACTAATTTTCTTCACTAAATCAGAAATATTTCTTCAAGATTCCACCACAGATTCTACAGGCCAGTTTAGTGCTTACAACTCTATACTCAACGATTCTTCAGAGTTAGAAAGAGTACCCCAAAGCCTTAGACAGTGGACAGATGTTGACAGTGATGGTGTCATTAAAACCAGCTAAGGGCATGTCACATAGCAGGCATTGCTCTGCGTATCTCCCGTCTGTTAACTCAGTTCTCTCAACAATCCTATCAAGTTGACAGTATCAGCATCTCCATTTTCTAGAATAAGAAACTGAGTCACAGAGAAATTAGATAACTTGCCTCCGGCTACACAACTAATGAATGTCTCTTTCAACAAATATGTATCATGCTCCTAATTATCTGTCGAATAAACACAAGGAATAAAAGCTTTCTAGTAGATTTTATGGGCAATTAATACCAATTGAGCAATTATTGTCTAATTGCTGCAGGAAACAAGCGACAGCTTAAGGTATGCAAGACAGGAAGGAGTGCTAACACAGGCTTCAGCTGACACAGGCTTAGCCGTTAGCCCCCGTGCCCCTTGGCAAGAGGGAGTGAACTGAATCAAGTGTCTCAAAACACTGAAAGGAAACAAAACAGTGTCTCAAAAAAGGGAGGGGGGGAAGGAAAGAAGGAAGGAAGAAGGAAGGGAGGAGAAAAAGGATTTAGGCTGAAGAATTTCTAGAAGCTGGCAAATCCGGTTAGGTTACTGTGAAAAATATATTAAATTCTTTTGTGATTTAAAGCAGTCCTACATAAGACAAGGGAAGGCAGACTTCCCAAGGTCCCCGTAACCTCGTGAATATTTAAGTTCCATGTTAACACTGGTTCAGAAACAGAATAGTCCAAACAAGAAAAAGACAGAAAACAGATTACTGATTGTTAGAAGAAAACTTTCCAAAAGCTAGCATTTTCTATAATAGCATTCCTATTCTGATATTACTTTATTAGACTGTCACTGATAAACTTGTTTAGTGTGAATTTACCACACAAAGTGACTCCTCTACACTTACCTGGCACACTGTTTAAGTGGTGGCAGAAATTATGGAAGATTAATACTATGAAGGAACATGGACATAGCTACTGAAAGATGGGGCTTGCAGTCAAAAAGACACAACTGCAACCTTTAGGAAGAACTGTAAGTCTGCCAAATGTCCCCTCGCGGAAGCATGAGAAATGAGGTCAAGAGCTCCTATCCTTAGTGGTGAGGCTGTAAACATGTGTTAGCTGCACAGGTCCTCTAAGAGACCTCAGAAATTAAATATTGTACCTGCGGGTTCACAGGCCCCCCCAGTTTGTACACTCGCCTGCCTCTAGTCGTCCAAGGACCACAAGGAAGGTGCAAACCCTGCACCGAGAAAGCCACACTCTAATGAGCTACAGCTGGCAGCACTGAGAACGCTGCACCGTCACAGAAACACAGTATCCTGGGGATGTCTGACGGCGGGCAGAAGTGCAGAGATCTGATACTCCAAACTATCATTTTAGTCTAACTGTAGAGACAATGAGGGCAAAGAGTGGCCTGAGCAAAACACATGAAGCATTAGTGCTGTTGTAACTAAGACCTCAGTTTCCCAGTCAAGCCTTGGCGCAGAGGCCTCTACAGTTTCTCGTGCGTCCAGGACCCTTCCTTCCTGCTCAGTCTTCTCAGCTTTCCCATCACCTTTCAAGAACATTCCTTCTGGGCTACACAGCAATTTCAAGTGGGGGAGGGAGAAGGATGAGGAAATGCAGTCAGCTCACACGCATTCCTCTTGTTGTTTTAGACTAAAGCCCTCACAGGCCATCTCTGGGTCTCCACTGCTTACCCAAGAGAAGAAAGTGTTACCATCCTCATTCCTGACTACTGCGCTCAACAAGTAAATGGAGTACCCAGTCAAACCAAAACCACAGTATAAAACATCAGAGTCTGAGCACAGAAAAGCCCAAGGTTTTTCTTTCATTATATACTGAAGAAACTCTTTTCAAAAAAAGAAATTCATTTATTAAAGAAATCAGAAAGAAAGGAAGGGGCGGAGAAACACAGGTAGAAAGAAGCCAACTCTCAATTATCCATGCTAATGGAGAGAGGAAGGAAAGGGAGAGGTCAAATAGGTTAAAGAAATTCGCATATTATCCAAAAATTATTTTAGCAAACACTAGTAAATTCTTGCACCAATTGTTTTTCAGGCCAACTAACAAGCAGTAAAATGTGTTATAAAAATTTTCACCTCCTCTCCCTTCCCATCCTCTGACTAGAGATATTCCCAAGCAGCAAAAATGGCTAAAGGTTGGGCAGTATTAGGAAGGTGAGGAGGAAAAAGAAGGAGAAGCAAGGGGCATGGTTAATTCATAATGGAGTATGTGCCCCTGAATAATTGAGAGCGTCAATTTGGAAATAAATACAATAAAAAGCCTGAAATAATAATAACCTATTTGCATACCTGTAACTTGGTCTTTCACCCAAATATAAGGATAAATTCATTCTTAAAAGGGGAAAAAAGGAAAAGGAGACTAAATAAATGTTATCCTTTAAGAATGACACCGAGCATCAACTTACAACTCATTGACCCACAATACCATTTGAACACTTCCAATGTATTAATTTTCTACTTCAGTATCGAGCACAGGTTCCTATTACCAGTTCCCCAGTTAGAATTCAGACTCCATTTAAAGCATTCCAATTCAAAAGTCTGAAGTAAACTCAAAGAGGGACACATTGAATTTGAGTGTTTCAGCTGTGTCAGCCTAACTACTAAATGCTACTGTCTCTACAGGGATTTCTACATTCCTACAGTGCATACCTATCATGGAAGAAATCTCAGACTTACAGAACAAACAGCAAAACAGTCAAACTACACTGTTAAAGAGGTGAGTACCCCATTCTAAGTGTTAAGTAAAATGAGGGACAGTCAAGTACAAGAAGCCAACAGAGCTGTGTAATCAATGCAAATGCTGCCAAATGCCCTACGTCATCACATTGTGGTAACTCACTAAGCTCCTTTCTCCTTTAGCTCTATGTCATATTAAAACATAAAAATCAGAACAAACGGATTATACTTGAAATTTCTATTATCACTGAGAGGATTCCTTTCTGTCCTTTCTGTTCTTCAGGAGGCACTATCTCTGCAACTAATGGTGGATTCTGCTCTGCCACCCTCTACCCAATCTGTCAGGTATGACAATCTGAAGACAATTTGGTAAGAAACCTTCATAATTTTAGTATGTTTGCTTTTTAAAGTACATTAAGTTATATTTTATCTCTTAAAAGAACATATATTTTATTTATTTTTCTGAAGCTCAAAATATCTGAAATAATTAGAGCCATATAAAAATTATAATGCCTATTTATAAAGCAATATACATATCAAATACCAATACAAGAAACCTCTAAGCACCTTTCAATTTAAGGAGGCATGCTACTTGGTATTGAGCTGAGCTTCCAGTGGTCTTTGATTATACAGAGATTGCCTTGTAATAGGATTTGACCTAAGTACTTTAAGCTTCCCTCACAAAATGCAAAACAAAACAAAAAGTAACCAACGGAGTAAACAGTAATCACTACGGGCAGAGTCTCTGAGTATAGAGATATTATTAAGATAAAAGACTCAGGGGCCTGCCACACCAAAGGAAGACTGTCTCAGAGCTACTTTATACTACATCATTTAAAAACCAGGGTGGTAGACTAATGGCTTACTTATGTGCAATTGTTGTTAACCGTTCATCGTTTACTGCTCTCCGAACTTCAGCACGGTGGCGTTCTGTTGAGATGCTATGAAAAAAAATAGCCATTATAGAACTCTGCCAAGCAGGCAGCTCTTCTCTACACTTTTATTAAGGTTTACGTCAACATCTTCTGGGGCTGAGGGTTACTTTGCCTAATGTGTATCTTCAAATGTTTCAAGGTCACAGGAAAGGTTTCATACTGATTCTGTGTAACTGCGGATTATTTATCTGGAGATCTCAGGAAGACAAACTCAGCCTGGACTGCAGGTTCCCCACCTGTAAACAGCAGGCCATGGTAACTAGCAATGCTTCCTGTTAATAGACAAGGAAACAGGTGCTCAGAGCCTCCTCATTTCATGGCTGCTGGCAGGAGGACTGGGCACTTAGAAGAAAGTCTTCTAAGGTCTTTTCTAAGGCGTAAGAGTCCAATGAATATAATAAAATCAGTAAGAGTGGCAAGATAACATGTTTCTTTTGAGTTCATGCTATGACACGTGACTCAACTTCAGCTAGGTGCCTTCTACATTATGTCACCAACGGTAAGAATGTACATACATTAAACACTGATAAATGAAACAGTTTTTAAAGACTACATCCATTCCATTCATAAATACCCAATAAGGTGAATACCACTCTTCTTATTTTCTTTAGTACTTAACACTAAATTTATAGCATGGATCACAACACTTAAAGACTAAAAGCAGACTTTACGAAGAAACGTAAACAAAAAAATAAGACTAAGAATCTGCTTAAAAACATTCTTATATTAATGCTAATTAATAAGAGACTCTTCCACTTCTCACTTCTAAAAAAAGAACAAAATGACTTTAAATGTAGAAAGCAAACAAGTCAAGGCCGAACATTTTTTGAGAAAGCAGACATAAAAATGAATCAAGATAAAGCACCGAGGAGCCCCTCTCACTGAGTTGTTGGACGGATCCAAGCGGCATTCTAGCTCAGGTGAAGGAGTCAGCTGGAGTTAAGGCCACGACTGTGTGGCCAGCACCCACTGCCATGTTGAGTCATCTTTCCCCTCCAGTAAATACCACTCTACGTCCTGTTCAGTTGCACCAGCTCTTCTTTCCTTCACCTCTGTCAAAGGACCTCCCACTCCAGGAGCCCAAAAACACCTGACTCAAACCCTCTCACTGGGTTACACGACAGAGACTAAGTTTCCCCATTTCTGCAGCAGAAAGCACACAATGGAACAGGGCCACTAAGCACCCGACACACTGAACACCTCGGTTCTTCAATTTGAGAATGAGCAGAAATCAAACTTTTATTCACATCACCAAAACTTTCATGACAAATTACCTAAGGACTTTTGAGAGCTCTCCAAGAAGATCTTTCTTTTCCTTGGTGAGATCCCCCTGTGCACGAAGTGCACTGATAACTCCAGCATATGCCTCCAATTCTAGAAAATAAAATTATTTTATCACAATAAGCCTTCAATTTTGAAAAATGTAGTTATGCAATATTAAATGTCATGGCAAGAAATCCAAAATCAACCAAATGCAAAATTTTTAATTCCTTTCAAAAATGTTATTGAATAAAAAGATTTAAGTGTTACTTTCATCATTCATATTGCTTTACTATACAATGTCTCACAGAAATCAAGGGTATAAAATGCTTAGGAAAGAAAATCTCTAACATATTACTGAAGAGCAGGTAATGTAGCCAGACATGGTGGCCATACCTTTAATCTAAGATCTTTACATTTACAAAAACTATCATCCAAGGAATTAAACATAAAAACCTACCATAGAAATGACTAGTTAGTCTGGGTGGTACATGCCTGTAATTCCAGCACTCATAGGTTTGAGCAGAAAGATGGAGAGTTCAAAGACAGCCTAGGATATGTAGCAAGACACTAACTCAAAAAAATACAAGCAGGAGAGGTGACTAGTGCTTGGCATAGATGTATCAGCACTTGAGTTTAATCCACAAAAATCTACTTTAAAAAAGGAAAGAAGAGGAGAGGAGAAAAATGGAAATGAAAAGCAGATATGGCAGTATACAGCTGTCATCCCAGTGTTGAGGAAGACAGAGAGAGATAGGAGGATGCCCCAGGCTTGCCAGCCATTAAGCCAACCTAGACTACTGAACAAGTTCTAGGTGAAAGACCCTACCTAAAAAAATTTTTAATTAAAAAAAAAAAAAGATGGGGATGCCTAAGGAACAATAGTTGAGGTTGTTGTTTTCCACATACATGTGAAGAAATATACAAATACCCACACACACACACATGTGCACACAAAGATACAAACACACAAGTCAGACATGAAAAGGCATGCCTGTAGTCTTGGTACTCAGAAAGTGAAGCAGGAAGATCATAACTTTTTGAGGCTAACTTAGGCTAAACTAGAACCTGTCTCGAAAAACAAAATAAACAAACAAACAGAACAAAAAAGCAAAAACATATATATAAATCAAAAGTCCTCAAGCCTTTCCCCCAAAATATGCAGGCCTCTCACGACCACCCAGTGTGATCTCTGTGTAGTCTCCTCCCACACCAATTCTATGCTACTTTTGGACAATGAAGCATCAAAAATAGGATGCAGACACGTGCTAAGTCCTTGTGCTTGTGACCTTGCTCTCTAGGAACATAACATCTGCAAGCTGTCAAGAAACCCAGAAAGAAAGGTCACAAAGAAAGAGGTTCAGCCACCTCAGCTATACCTAGTTCCCTGGAGCTGCAAGAGAGGTCAGACAAGGCTGAGGGAGCTCCTTCAGCCAATAGCCTTTATGATTCCAGCCCACTTGGGTGTGGTCTCTTTTGCTTTAAAAAGCAGCAGTAGCCCTGCTCTCGCTCTTGCTTCTGGCTCCAGCTTCAGCTGCCAGACTCTGTTCCTGGTCGCTCAGAGGGCTGCTGTCTAGGACCGTGATCTGTAAGTTTTCCCCTTAAATAAATAACCTTTCTATTAATCATAATTCCAACCTGGTGTGGGATTGTTTTGTGACTTACACCTTCAAGACAACACCAACAAGAGAATGGAAAAAAAAAAATGTGTTTTAGTCGTTAATACTATGAAACAGAGACATAGGAGCAAACCAGAATGGTAGAAAAAACATCCAAATTAGAAGTATTTTCACACTCACATTGTGATAAATATCTTCTGTCTGCCTACAGAAACCCAGTAAATGTGGGTTAAGTAATAATAGATGTAAGCCTGCAGACTCAAAACTAGCCAATAAGTCAACTGTGGTCTCACTTTGTTCACTGCATTCTCAACTCTGCCAGGGGGAGACATTAGGGGCTAAAGAGATGGCCCAACAGTTAAAGAGCACTTACTCTTCCAGAGGGCATGGGTTCAAATACCAACACCCACATGGTGACTCAGAACCGTCTATCATTCCACTTCCCGAGAACCCAACACCCTCTTCTGGTTTCCCCAGACACCATGCAGACACAGTGCACAAACAGACATGCAGGCAAAACATCCACATATAAAATAAAAATAAATTTTTTTAAAGGAAGCCTTATATAAAGGAATGGGCTGAGTAAAAGCAGCAAAAATGTCTAGTTCCACCGATATCCAACTGTGATCAGCCTGCACGTGCTGAGTATGTACTGCACACCATGCAGACACGGAAGGGGGTGCGTTCAAAAGCACAGACCTGCCCTCCAAAGGCGAAAAGCAAATACTAAGTCCAAGAAATATATTTCAGCTCTGACAAGAGCTGGAAGAGATTTTAAAAAATGGCATTAGGAATCGCCAGCTGAAAACTCACTATACTAAATGTTTATGTCCCATTAAAATACATAAAATATTTAATCCCAGCACTCGGGAGGCAGAGACAGGCGGATCTCTGTGAGTTCGAGACCAGCCTGGTCTACAAAGGGAGTTCCAGGACAGGCTCCAAAGCTACAGAGAAACCCTGTCTCGAAAAACCAAAAAAAAAAAAAAATAAAAATAAAATAAAAAAAAAAATAAAATACTTATGGAATATTCTAGTCAAGAAATCAATGTTGAGTCCTAATATATAGACACTAAAGAGTGTTGGGTCCTGCCCTCAAATATTTAACTGCAATCACCACAGTTGCACACAGTGGTGAAGGCGTCTGGTTTGGAAACAAGCTCTCACCAGGATGAGAGAGAGCAGTCCTTGTGCAGAGTGGGGAACGAATGCCTGCAAAAGGAACAGAGAGCAAAAGAACTGAGACTGCTTCATGTTACTGCAGTAACTTCCAGGAACAAGAACTACTTTGAAAAGTTTTACATTAAAGGAAATAAAACTGTCTGTAGTTGAAGAGTCACTAATTCAAACCAAATTACTAAAGGAATATAAGACAGAATACCAGGGAAAATATTTAAATATTTGTAGGGTATAAAACAAAGTCCTTATTCTCAAAATGATTAAAATCAAGGTCTAATGTATGTGTTAGATAGATGACTGATAAATAGACAGATAAATTGTTAGAAAGGTTTTATTTCACATATATAAGAGAACAGAGAAAAAGGGAAACAGAAGTAATTTGTGGTTAGACTAAGCAAATCCTTTAATCCCACCTTAAAGAATTATTTGATAGAACTCAGTAACTGATTGTAGATAGGACAGAAGAAAATGAGTAATAGTTTAGATTTTGCCAATGTTTAAGACAATAACAATGCCATAAAGAAACAAATTGCAAAGCAGGCAAACTTGATTCCTGAAGGTTGTAGCCTAATCTCCACACATACCCCACAGCATGTGTGCAAGATCTCACGTGTACACACACACACACACACACACACACACACACATAAAACAAAAACATAATTTAAAATGTAATATATATTTTTTTTCTTTCTAGACAGGGTTTTATAATGTACAATGTAGCTCTGGTTGACCTGGAACTCACTATGTAGACTAGGCTGGTCCTGAATTCAGAAAACCTGCCTCTGCCTCCCAAGTGCTGGGATTAAAGGTAGATGCCATACCTGGCTAAAATGCAATGAAATCTTTTAATATGGAAAATTTTATATTTCCGGCTTCATTTGAAGCCAACTAAGAAGTCATGCACAAAATTAGGACGTGGCAATATCCAACACACAAAACTGTGGCTCTGAAACATTTCCTCAGCTACAAAAACTCACAGCATCCCTGTAAGCAGTCCGGTCACCATTAGAATCTTTACTAACTCACAAGCTTCCTTCATATTTAATGACAAGCATGCTTATAGGATACTGAGGTCATTCCATTACAGGGCCATTCTGGTGACCAACAAAAAAAAAGTATATGTGTGTATATATATATATATATATATACAAAATGAAGCTGGGCAGGGTGGTGCATACCTCTAATCCCAACACTTGGGAGGCAGAGGCAAGCAGATCTCTGAGTTCAAGGCCGGCCTGGTCTACAGAGAGAGTTCTAGGAAATCCAGAGTTATATAGTGACACCCTGTCTCAAAAAAACCAATAGATAGATAGATAGATAGATAGATAGATGATAGATAGACAGACACACAGATAATAAATATGCCTCAAAAACAAAAGATGTGCTACACTACTTTTATAAAATCCTAAACCATCCTAAACCATGTCATTTAAAGCAATCGGCCACTTCAATTTATACTTTAGTCATAAAGCCCCAAGTCAGTTAAGTTACAACTCAAGAGTTATAAAGATAAGGAAGGAGAGGCAGTCAAAAAGTAGCAAGCATTTACCTGCTACTGGTGCCATGAGTGTATCGTAAATTGTCTAGCCTGACTTCTTTCTTTTTAATGTGTATGAATATTTTGATTATATGTATATATGTTTATGTGTATGTCTGATGCCAGAGAGAGCATGGATCCCCAGAAATGGAATTACAGATGGTTGTGAGCTGCCATGTCAGTGCTGGGAACCGAACCCTCTCTAAGAGTAGCCAAATGCTCCAAGTTCTGAGCCATCTCTCCAGCACTCCCCACCCCAATTTCTTGATAATTAAAATGTTTGGCATCCCACATTGAAACCATTTATAGCTGCTTCTAAAAGAACAAAGTTTTAAGCTAACAACACTTTTTAAAAATTTTGTGGCTGAGCAGTGGTGGCACACGCCTTTAATCCCAGCACTCAGGAGGCAGAGGAAGGTGGATCTCTGAGTCTGAGGCCAGCCTGGCCTACAGAGTAAATTCCAGGACAGTCAGAGCTATACAGAGAAACCCTGTCTCAAAAAACCAAAAGCCAAAAATTTGTGTGTGTGTGTGTGTGTGTGTGTGTGTGAGAGAGAGAGAGAGAGAGAGAGAGAGAGAGCAAGAGAGCAAGCGAGCAAGAGAGAGAGACAAAGACAGAGACTGAGAAAGGGAGGGAGGGAGAGAGAGAGAAAGTATGCCGTGTGAGTGCAGGTGCCCAAAGAGGCCAGAGGAGCTCAGAAGAGGGCATGAGATCCTTGGAGCTGGAGCTAGAAGCAGTGGTAAGCATCCTGACATGACATGACTGCCAAGCTCTCTCCAGCCCTTAACCTAACAATTCTCAGAGACAGTGTGTATCTCTCCTAGACTTAGGACTTGGAACTAGGGTTTGAAAGCAATCCAAAGGTTCATGGTCAAGACAGCAACCCGGGGAGGAAAGCCCACCTTCCTAAGGGTCACTGGGGCCAGAAGTGCCATGGTAACGGCCGCTTCCTTCAGCACAGAAGCAGCACCCAGCAGCATCTCCCACACATCTGCCTAAAACCACAGACACGTTCATTGTTTTTATTTTTACTTGAATTTTTTTTCTAATGCTGATTTTTTTTATTGCACCCTAAAGTCTATTTCCTTAGTTTGTTCTGAGATAACTCTTTTTTTTCTGCGCTACCTCTTCTTCTAGCTGAAGAACAATTTGATCCTCTTCAGTGATGATCAATCTGATGTGGCAGGAGGGGCCGCCAAAATAGGTCAATCTGACCCTAAGCTCTCTAAGTCCACCAACACATCTTGGGTGATTTGTTCATGGGATATACTCAGGAACGGAGAATCTGTATATTAACCCAAGAGCAAAGCATCGCTCTCTGCATTTTAGACGATGTGCAGAAAACAGAAGAAAGCATCCCCCCCCCCTTGAGATCCTGAGACTGTAGCAGGACAGACGTAAGAGCCCCATCATGCTAAGACACAATGGTACACATTACTTTTATAAAGTGGCATCTTCCTGGTACCTAACAGCCTTCCGCCTACCTGTAACCTTGACAGCGTGGGCTGTTTCAGGGGTGTTCATTCTTTAACACCGAAACATTAGCCCCTTGATGTCATGATTTTATAGGGTGCTATCATCAAGTCATTTTCATACATCACCTCACGTCATTTATGGAAAAAACTAACAGCAAACTTAAAGATTACTAACTTTATGTTGCTCTCAAAACCCAGAAACCTCAGTCCAATTTACTGTCCTCGTGATCTTTTCATCTTGCATTTTTTTTAACTATGAAAGAAATGGAGTTCAATTTCATAATCAACAGCAAGTTATATTAGTGCCTGTGTATAGCCAAGTATCTTCAAAATAGTGATAAAAGTTTGCATGGAAGTTTAAAAGACTGGCCCCCGGAAAAGAGCCCTCTTCCAACTGCTAAAACAATGTCAAGCAGTTTATAATCTGGGGGGGGGGGGGGGGATAGAGAAGGGAAAGACAGAAAAGGGCAGAAGTTATTAGCAGTAGGTCTACAGTAGCTACAATTTCATCTGACCTACATATAGAATTTTCAACAAAGAGTTCCCCTGAAGGAAAACTTTAGTAGCCTACAAGTACATTCAAAAGTAGCTGCTTTAAGCTCTATATTCTCACATGCCAGTCACAATGATGGGCTTTTTATTTAATTGATAGTCACTGCTCATTTTCAAATTATTCCATCACTTATTTTATTTAGTGCACTAGCCTCAGGCTACAATGGTAAATGAGACAAGGGCCTTATCTAAAACAGCATTTTTCACAGATTTTCACTCTAAACCAAAGATCAAATGATTAGGCAGCTTTTCTCTCAATATTCACAAGAATGGGACGTGACTAACACCATTTTGCACACAAGGGTAAAGTCAGTTCACTCACACAAAACACGTGCCTTAGCATTAGGGCTTGCTTCTCTCCCTAAATGCTGGTTGAAAAGGGTTGTTACAAATGTAGAAAGGAGAAACATTAAATAGTCAACTTTAAGCATAAAGTGTGTTTTATCAATTACAGTAATTAAGTAATTGGGAAAATAGGCAGCTTGCATTTAGCTTACGATTCAGAAAAGGCATGATTCACACAGACACATCTACTAAAGTTAGTAGTATGCTTACATGAAACCAAAAAAAAAGAAAATTAAAAGTTAATTTTAAAAAAAGGAACACACAACAGCCAGGTTTCCCATTTATCATGGCTCCTTGACATTATGACTCCTGTATCTCATTTACAAAAAAAAAAAAAAAAAAAAAAAAAAAAGGTCTTTTCAGGCCCTGAGAAAACAGTGAGAAAGATGAGGGCGCTAGCCACCAACAGCCATGGCCCACACAGAAAAGAAAAAGGGTTACAGAGAAATAGAAAACAACAAGACTAACACCGTTAGGTAGGCTGGTGGAGCACAGCTGTGGTCCAGCACTTGGAAAGCTGAGGCAGGAGTGCTGTGCTACTCAGTGAGACCCTGCTCGGGACGGTAACAACAAAATCCATACCCAATTTTCGAAGAATTCGTTTGCATTCATCCCTGCTGAGATCCAAAAGGGTTGGCCACACAACAGGCATTGCTGCTTCTGTCTGGTAGCCCCAAAGAGCTTGTCCTCCCTATCAGAAGAAAAACAAGTCAAAATCACCAAAGGATATGCAACAGGCCATTCACTTGGAGATCCCTCCACGGGCTACCAAGCAAAACTGAAACGATACCTCATAACCATGTTTTGCGGCTGCTGAGAAATGACCAAACCACCACCAGAGCACCCTGATCCAGCTAACAGGGGAAGAACATGGGTTCTGGAGTCAAACACTTGGTTCCAGGTCCAGCTTTTCATCCTGGTGAACTGGCCTGTCTGAACCCACTTCATACAGGTTTATGAAAATAAAAGCAATTCCACCCGGTTTGCAGTGGTAAGTAGGAAACAGGGCATGCAAAGTTCTTTCATGGGGGCTGGCATAGAACTTGCCAGATAGTTTGTACCGCACGTGCAACCTTGGGCAAGCGACTTGACCTCTGCCACTTTCCTTACTAACAAGTTATAAGATAAAATAAGCCAAGGGTAGAGCATGTTATTTGGGTAAATGGAACTTAGTAAAGAACTCTTTTCTCACATTTTGGCAGTAAAACAGTCATGAGTCCACTAGTTATCCAAAGTTGAGATGCCCGGAATTTCGCACTGAGAATCCCCTAGCCTGGAGGACAAAAAGACTCAGAGCCGGTAGGTTCACACACTACTGGTTGAACACACAGCAGACCTTCCTTAAACATCTGCTAAACTGATAAATGGATGGTTAGCGGGCGAGAAGAGCGAACGAATGAATGAATGAACCAGTTTAAGAGTCGAACACTAAACCGAGATAACTCCTCTGGGCTGCTAAGCCTAACTCTTGGCCTCAAGTGGAGTCCCCCTTCCCCCTACTTCCCATCGTCCTCCGAGCTCAGAACCAACCCCAAGCGAGCCGAACTGGACGGCGCGCCCCAGCTGGCAGGATGACATAAAGAAAGGGGGTGGAGAGGAGGAAGGGGCAGAGCCAAAGGAATCCGCTTCGCTCCCCGAGCCAGTCCCCGCCTCCCGACAGGACCTCGGAGGCGGCAGGCGACCGCCCGAAATCAGGCACCACGTCACGGCATCCCAAAGCATCCCCCTGCGGCGAAGCGCACGGCGGGGCCGCACAAGCCAGGCGAGCCGAGCGGCGGCAGCCGGTGCGCGCTCGGGGAACCGGGGGACGGGAGGCGGGGGTCGCACCGACTCGGTCGCCCCCATGCCCAGCTCGGGTGTCAGCGGGCAGCCCGCCCCGCCCCCTCTCCGCAGCACCACAACAAGGGCAGCCCGCCCGGGCTCCCCGCCTGCGCCGCTCCGCGCCCGTCCCCAATGTCAAGCCCGCGCCCCCGCGGCCGGCAGCCGGGTCTCGGCAACGCTGGCCAGCTCCTCTGGGGAAGGCGGACAGCCGGCCGGCCGGCCCCCGGAATCACCACGGGGACCCTAGACCTCCACCTCCGCTGTCCCATCACTAGGCGTGCCGGAGCGCCCCTCGGTCCACTTGAGGGAGCCCCGCGATCCCGTTAGGAAACAACGGAGGATGGGGCTGAGCGTCCCCGAGCCGGGCTCCCCACGGCTGGCCCGGCGCCCCCAGACCCTGGATAAGCTGCCAGCTCTTCCCCGGACCCTGCCTGAGAGACACCCACCTGCCCGGCCTTTCGGGGCTCATCTAAAAGGCTCCTCCGCCAAGACTAGGGGACACCAGGAATTAGGTTTGTTTGCGGTGCCTCAGAAGGGGCAAGATGGCGACAGAGGCCAGAGCGCAGGCGCAGCCGCGCGCGGCTCGTCGGGAGGTGTAGTTCGCCTTTCCCGCCTTTTGCGAAACGAGCCCTCAAAAGCCTCTATTCGTCCCGTCCTGCTTTTTTTTTTTTTTTTTTTTTTTGCCCAACCCCTTCCCCCCCCCCGCGTTTTGAAAGGGAAGGACGGGTGTCGCGGAGCCTGCTGGGAGTTGTAGTCCGAGCTCCAACTCCGTCCTCTTTCTCTCGCTGCTCGCCGGTCGTGTGCGCAAGGAAGTCTGGGAGTGTAGTTCCTTTTGGCTTCGCGCGCCCTAGCCTCCCGGCCGTTCCCAGCCAATCGGCTGCCCTTTTCAGCTGAACGTGTGGCGTCACACGTACCGTCCAAAATGGCGTCGGCAGTCGGAGCCGCGCTTCGACCTTTACTCTAGCGAGGTGAGGGATGAAAAGAGCGCGGCTTGGTCTCTGATGAACGCTGGGGGATGAAGATCTGGTTCCCCAGACTCTTGGGAGCCATCGTCAGCGTCCTCCACCACCCCGACGACTCGAGAGATTCTTCACGCCACAAGAACGGAGAGAGAGGACCTCACAGTGTCCCGCACCCCGTTCTCGGTGTTGAGAGTTGCAAATCGAGGAAGGGAATCCGAGCGTTCTCGGCTTGGGGCAATGCCGTGTGCGAAATAGGAAAGCTAGTGATATCTTGTGCTATGTCTGTCCAAGGGAAGAAGGGATTTGCTTGTGGCACTCACTACAGCATGGTAGGTTCACCTGCAGCCTTTGTTACTTAACCGCACCATGTTGTCAAAGTCTTGTCCCCCTGCTTTACAGATGGAAAGAGGCCCGATGTGTTGTTACAACGATCCGAAAAAAATCAAAATTAGTTTCTAGGATTGTAAATTCCATAAAGTTTTGTGATGTCCTCCCTCTAAACTCTGGTAACATCGGATGTGGTGAAAGTGCACACATCTGAAGGAATTGTTAGTATGCATCCTGCAGTTAAGCAAATTCCCTGGCAAACCAGGGTTACCACAGGAAGGACTTCTAGCTCAGTGGTAGATTGCTTTAAGGGTATGCGTAGGGGGAGGGGCAAAATCTACTCTGTGGAAATATTCAGATACATGGCGTGGGTGAAAGTTCTTTTCTAAGTGGGACGCTATGAATTACATTTCTAATCCCTGCACTGGGGAAGTGGAAGAAGCAGGTCAGCCTGTACTGCAGGAGGCCCTGTGACCAAAAATCGTTTGGGGTTTTTGTAGTTTTGTGAACCACTGCATAAATGTGAGTCTGTTCGTGCTCTTGAATGGAGATGTAGGTTAGTCAGAAATAAAAAGGACCATTTGAGTTTACTCCACGCCTTTCTTGACCTTCCTGTGCACACTGTGAGGTCAATTGCTTAAGAACACCTTATAAGGTGGTTAATTAAATCTTAATAGGAGACTTTGTAATTTAACAAACATTCCTTTATTTGACCCTTGCAGCATCTACACGAGGTGGGTGTAATTAAGTTTGCCCGTCCTATGGATGAAAAGGCACAGTTGTCCAGGAACTGGTAAACCAAGAACTATATAATAGAACCCTGTCTCGAAAGGCAACAATAGGGGGCTGGTTAAGAGCACTGGCCTCTCTTCCATCCCATATGGTGGCCAACAACCATATATAAGTCCAGCCATATGTAATTCAGGAGTTCCTTAGGTGCCGCACGAATGTACTGCACAGCACAAATGTAGTGCACAAACACATACAAGCAAAACACCCATACACAGAAAATAAAGTTTTAAGAAGGCAACAACAAAACCTGACTCTTGGCCAGGCAGTGATGGTGCACGCCTTTAATCCCAGCACTTGGGAGGCAGAGGCAGGTGGTTCGCTGAATTTGAGGCCAGCCTGGTCTATAGAACTAATTCAAGGCAGCCAAGACTGTTACATAGTGAAACCCTTTCCTGAAAAACAAGCAAACAAACCTGACTCTTATTGTAAGTCAAATAAGAGTAACAATTGGGGTTGATCCTCCATCTTCTATATAACTTCTTACAATTAGTAGGGATGTCCGTAGCTAAAAATAAGTCCCTGATACAGGTTAAAAACCACCCCTAAGGTCCACATAAGTAAAGGACAAAGGAAGGTTTTAAATTTAGGCAGCCTAGGCTGTCGAGAAGATTCAGCAAGTAAAGACACTTACCTTGCCAGCCTGCTGACCTGAACTCAGTCTCCAGAACCCGCTCATGTGGTAGTGGAAGAACTGAGTACACAAAATCGTCCTCTGACCTCCCGCATGTATACACACACAAATGATACAAACTTATTTGTCATAAATTTAGGCAGCTCGGTCCCAGAGTCTACACCTTCCGCCAGTAGTAGCTCTCAAGCTTTCGTGTTCAGTGGGAACACATGATGGTCCTGGTAAAAATGCGAACTTTTGGGTTGTATAGTTAGGGCCAGATCCTGTTTCCAACAAACTCCCAAGTAATAATGCTGGCACTACATAGCATTTTACATCTTCCCCTTTCTCCTGTCGTGAGTTTTTGTCTAGAAACATATCTCCCCATGTATTCTAGGCTAGCCTCAAGCTTGAGATGCTGCCTCTGCCTCCCGAGTGCTGGGATCACAGGTACATGCCACTGCACCTAGGTCTTAAACATATTTATTTTGCGGCTTAGAAGCTGTAATAGCCTTTGTGTGCTATCTCTGACTGCTTTGTACATCCAAATGATCCTATATCCTTTCTCTTAAGGATCATATTCAAACTACCCTTCTCCCTTACATCTCATGAAACTCCTCCTGGCCCTACCAGTCCCTCTACCGCGAGACAGACATTTCGGTGTCTTTTCTCACACGTACCATGTTACAGAGCTAAATACATAGAGTTATGGTCATTTGAAAAGTCCTGACGAGAACGAACTCTATGGAAAGGGACCAACCAGGTATATGCACTCTTGTGCCTAGCACATAATGAAAATAATAAATATACTCACAGCTTTCTCCGTTTCAGCTGCTGTTCCATATGTTAGCTTTCTTAATCCATGCAATAGCCTGATAGTGACTGTATTACTCATAGTTCTCTAGAGGAACAGAACTGATAGAATAAATGAGTAAATAAATATATGGAATGTATTAGAGTGGCTTATAGGCTGTGGTCCAACTAATCCAACAATGGCTGTCTTCCCAGGGAAGGTCCAAGAATCCAGTAGTTGTTCAGTCCATAAAACTGGGTGTCCCAGCTGGTCTTCAGCACACACTGGAGTCCTGAGGAAGTAGGCTCTATGCCAGTGAAGGAACAGACTTGCCAGAAAAAGCAAGCAAGGCAAAAAGCAAGCTTCCTTTTTCCATGCCGTTCGTACAGGCTGCAGGCAGAAGCTGTGGCCCAGATTAATGATGGATTTACTCACCTCAAAAGATCCAGATTAATGCTGGTTTGTTCTCCTATTTGCTGCGTCTTGGGCTCCGTGTGGGTAGAGCGTGGTTGAGCTGTGCAGCTAGGCCATGGTGAGCTATGCACATCTGTCATCAAACAGGGAAGACTGGCAGGCCATAAATGCAGTGACCTATGACGACGTGCATGTGAACTTCACTCCGGAAGAGTGGGCTTTGCTGGACCCTTCCCAGAAGAATCTCTACAATGATGTGATGCTGCAGACCTTCAGGAACCTCACTGCCATTGGCTACAATTGGGAAGGTCATGACACTGAAGAGCATTCTCAAAGTTCTAGGAGTTGTGGAAGTCCTCTTAAACGGCATGAGAGAATTCACATGGAAGAGAAGCCCTGTGAAGTTATTCAAGATGATGGACCCATTGCATATCATAGTCAACTACGACTATATAAAAGAGCACATACCAGAGAAAGGCCCTACAAATGCGACCAGTGTGGTAAAGCTTTTACATCTCCCAGTGGTCTTCAGATGCATAAAAAAACACATACAGGAGAGAAACCTTACAAATGTAAGCAGTGTGATAAAGCTTTTGCATATCATAGTTATATTATAATTCATGAAAGAACACACACTGGAGAGAAACCCTATAAATGTAATCACTGTGTTAAAGCTTTTACATCTCCAAGTGAGCTTCAAAAGCATAAAAGAAAACATACAGGAGAGAAACCTTACAAATGTAAGCAGTGTGATAAAGCTTTTGCATATCATAGTAATGTGATAATTCATGAAAGAACACACACTGGAGAGAAACCCTACAAATGTAATCACTGTGTCAAAGCTTTTACATCTCCCAGTGATCTTCAAAAGCATAAAAGAACACATACAAGAGAGAAACCTTACAAATGTAAGCAGTGTGATAAAGCTTTTGCACGTCATAATTATGTTCTAATTCATGAAAGAACACATACTGGAGAGAAACCCTATGAATGTAATCAGTGTGGTAAATCCTTTATACATTCCAGTCATCTTCACAGGCATGCAAGGATACATACTGGAGAGAAACCTTACAAATGTAATCAGTGTGGTAAAGCTTTTGCATATCATCATAATGTACTAACTCATGAAAGAACACACACTGGAAAGAAACCCTTATGAAGGCAGTCAGTGTGGTATAAAGCCTTTTAATATCAGAAGCATCTCTAAATACATAAAAGAACACATAGGGGAGAGAAAAATTATTGATGTGATCAATGTAGTCTTCCAAGGCATAAAAGAGCACATAGCGGAGAGAAACCTATGAATGAAATCAGTGAAGTAACGCCTTTGCAATTAATAGTAATTTTCAAAAATACAAAGGAACACATACAGGAAAGAAACCCTATGAATGTGACTAATGTTGAAAAGCCTTTGCATGTATCAAGTCTTCAAATTCATGAGAAAATACACTATACAGACACTTGATAGTCAGTGTGGTGGGTTTTTTTATTTTATGGTGGTTTTTCTACAAGAATAAGGTTTTAGTGCAAAATTGGTTAAAGCCTTTTCATATTAAAGTTCTCTTTGAGGAAGTGCAAAATAAATACTGAAAAGATTCTAGGGCTGGAGAGATGGTTCAGAGGTTAAGAGCATTGCCTGCTCTTCCAAAGGTCCTGAGTTCAATTCCCAGCAACCACATGGTGGCTCACAACCCTCTGTAATGGGGTCTGGTGCCCTCTTCTGGCCTGCAGGCATACACACAGAATGTTGCATACATAATAAAAAAATAAATATTTTTTTTAAAAAAAAAGATTCTAATTAAAAAGAATTTGGCACCATCTTCAGCAAACATCCATTATTAAGTTACACAGGAGTGTTGATTTTGGAGAAGAAATGCTAGCAATATCAGCAATCTGTCCGTAGATTATACTGTCCTTTATTTTGTTTGCCCCTGCAAACAAAATATGAAAGAAAGCCCTACAATTCAAATAATGATGTAAGCCTTTTAGATTTCACACCGCTCCTCAATTACATTAAATATCTAATCCAGTTGAAACATTTATGGATGTGAATTTGTCTCTTTCCTGTTATTGTGATATAACATGTTTTAATGACAGTAATGTGAAAATACTTAGTAGAGAATCTAAGAAACAGTAAATACATCATATGCATATTCAAAGCAGGATTTTCTTTGGTTGATATGTAATAAAATAGAATAATCAGCGATCAACTCTATATCTCATAGCTTGATTGCTATAGATATGTATATATTACTTATTGTTCTATTTTCTTCTTGCTGTCCCCATGAATTTTCCATCTGTCACTTCATCGTTAGTTACTGCCTTATAAAAATATTATCCATTGATGCCAGATAATATAATATTTTAAAAAAAAGATCCAGATTAAAAGTGAATCTTCCCACTTCAAACAGTTTAGTTAAGAAAAAAATCCCTCACGGGTATACCCAGCCACATGGGTTTTAATTAATTCCAGATGTAGTCCAGTTCCAGTTGGCAACCAAAGATAGCCATCACAGTAGCCATGTTTTAGTGGATGAAGAAAAAAAAAAAAAAACAAGACACAGGTTAAATGCCATGCATAAGATACCAGATTAATAAAGTAGCAAAAATATGATTTGAAATGGATAAACTTCTGGGGAAGAAGTAAACTCACCCTGCTAGACCGTAATGAACACAATTGCCCAGTCTGGGGTAGTGCTTAGAAGCAGATAGAATACCTGCCTTAACTATTCCTTGCTTAACTAAGCAGCTAAGTATTAAAACGGAGTTCTATTAGTTTATATTTTACCATGAGGCTCATAGCTTGTTACACAATACCTCACTTCTCCTGCAACTTCTGGTGTCTCTCTAACTTCACCTTCTTTCTCCCTGTATCTCTGCTTGGATTTCCCCCCTAGCTTTATTCTGCCCTGCCATAGGCCAAAGCAGATTTATTCATCAACCAATAAAGCAATGCATATTCACAGCTATAGAAGGAATCACCTATCAGTCCTCAACCTTACATAATTTTCGCCTGTGTTTGTTAGCCATTCGTGCTTAATAAATTATCCCAAACCCTAATGGCTTGAAACAATGAATATTTTGTTTTAATTCAGTTTGTAGTTTCTGACAAAATCACAAGTAGCTTAGCTGGGTGATTTGGAGGGGAAGGCAAGGTTGGGAAAGGGCCTTCTTCCTATAATTCAGGCTGGCCTGGAACTCGCTACATTAGCTAGGCTGGCCTGGAACTCACTACATAGCCATGCTGGCCAGGAACTTTTGGCAATCCTCTTACTTCAACCTCAGGTGCAATGCTGGCAGCTGGGCGATTACTGAACATTTTTTGAAACATCAACTTCCATAGTCCATAATAACTATTTATATCCTGGTTTCCGGCCAAAACAACTCACCTCCCTCCTACAACTCCCTCACACCCTTTACTCGACATTCCCAGTCTGTCCTCATGATAGAAATAGGTTTCTGGTTTCTTCTCCTTTTTTTTTATAACTACATAAATAAGTGAACTGTGTGTGTGCATGTGTGTGTGTATGCGTGTGTGTGTGCGTGTGTGTGCATGTGTGTGCGTGTGTGTGTGTGTGTGTGTGCACTGATGTGTTCATGCACATGGAGAGCTCCATGTCAGAGGACAACTTTTGGGAATAACCTCTTCACCCTGGGTTCTGGGGTCAAAGGAAGGTCACCAGCCATAGGTAGAATGTGTTTTTACCCACTGAGCCATCTTGCCAGCCCCACCATACTCTTGAGGACGACAGTTTTGTTATCCTGCTCTGGTCTAGCTGAGTTTCATCAGATGCATTTACACTCAGTGTAGCAAACGCTTTTCCCTGTGTATCTAACATCCAATGACAGAAACTGGCACAGAATGGCCACCATAAACTTCTGTTCCCCATGGGAAAGAAAGAGAGGGGTAGAGCCATAATGAAAGCACCGGCAAGCTAACCTAGGATGTCATGCATCTAAGGCTGGCCGAGCACTTCAGCCCTGACACTGTTTCTCTGACTGAGGCTCAGGTTGTGGCGTATGCGTGATTCTTCACAGTCCCTGACCCCACCTTCAATACTTGCTGAATTCTGAATGAAAAAGAAAGAATAAAAAGCCTCTTTATTTTAAAACTTAGCCAGTCCTTGTCTCTTGTTCTTGGTGGGTTATTCTTTACTTCCTTGAGAAGCCAGGTAGCACTTGTAACACTGCTTGGAAAGCATCAGTTAGATTCACTAACTCGTTAGGTACCTTTTACAGTTACCTGCTGTCCCCGGCAGCAGCTCCATTAATGTTTCCTCTACATTAAAGACTCACTTTCCTCCTCCTGCTTCCAGGAAGGTTTTCCTCACTCTCCTTTCATCTCTCACAGATGGTTTTCTCTCAAAACCTCAGGCTTCTGCTGAAAGTTTTTTGAAACTTGTTAGGTCAGCCCTAACACCAGCACTGAAACCACCCTTCAGTTCTGGTATAGCATCCTACTCCGGGTCCCAAAATTTGACCTGCGGATCGACTACCACATAACATTACCACAAAAAATTTCCAGTGGAAAACAGTAAGATTTATTTTTCCCTCGTGAATCTGCCATGGGAGTAGGCCGGAAAGTACAAATTGCGGACAATCACGCCCAAATTTAAACTCAGCTCCAACTCCTAACATACATGACTTTCCTACTGCATCAATATGATACAACTGTCTTGCATGGATGGATATTAAAATTTAAAACCAAAAAGATCTGTTGCCGAAGAAGAGTTAAAAGACAAGGGGTTACTATGAAAACAAGCCACATAACAGAATAGCCACAGGCTCCACAAAAAAAATTCTGCAGAGTCGGGCGGTGGTGGCACACACCTTTAATGCCAGCACTCAGGAGGCAGTGACAGGCAGATCTCTGTGAGTTCGAGACCAGCCTGGTTTACAGAGTGAGTTACAGGACGGGCTCCAAAGCTATAGAAAAACTCTGTCTTGAAAAACTAAAAGATAGATAGATAGATAGATAGATAGATAGATAGATAAAATTCTGCAGAGGCCATATCTGGAGGCTGAGGCGTGTGGATCTCTGACTTCAAGGCTAGCCTGGTCTATGTGGTTCCAGTTCAACAAGTTTAGCCTCAAACTAAATATGTAGCTGAGGATAACTTTGACCTCTTGCTCCTCCTGCCTCAGCCTCTTGAGTGCTGAGACTACATGCTTGAGGCCCATGGTTTGAAGTCACATGGTTTCATTTTGTTTTGAACTTGAGAGAAGATCTCATTTAACCCAGTCTAATGCAGTGCTTTCTCCATGGGTGAAGATGACCTTGAGGGTGACCTTGAACCTCTGCTTCTGAGTGCTGAGATTATCTCTGCACCACCATGCCCAGCATTATGCCATGCTGGGGATCCCACTCTGTATGCCATGCACGCTAGGCAAGCGCTCTACCATCTAAACTACAAGCCAGCCACAAAATAGCCAGGATCTCGAGGCAAAGAACGCAAAGATTAGCAACCTCAAATGGTAAAACGAGGGATGTTAGAGCCTTAAAAGTCCTCAGCTTGGAGTGCCAGTCAGACAAATGCAGGGAGCACTCTGGAACGTCCAAAGACAGGTGTCCAACCGTGGGCCAAAGTCGTAGGTGGTCCTTGAGGTGGTGTCTCTGCCCTAACAATTCCTGAGTCTGTGATTTCCACTGTACCTCATGACAGCGTTCCAGACTCATTGCCTGTTTAAGCCACAGTGGACCCCAAGTGGCAAAAGCATTGCCTGTGCTCTCGACCATAACTTGACACTGATTAATGGCTCAATCACCAGACAGCCCAGGAGAGCTGCAGATGAGAATGGGAACAAAGACACAGTCTCACACATTTGAGTTTACTTCTCTACTTCCTGGGAAGGGGGGTGGCTAGGCATTTTTGAGGTTCACACAAGTGCCAAAACGCCTCAGGTGAGGGACTGATGATAATCTGTAATTATCCAAGGCAGGGTCTAAGGTAGTTCCTAAAGATGGAAATAATAACCCTGTCAGAAGTGGAAATCAGCTACTACGGGGGAGGGGATGATAAATCCAAACATGAGATCCAGCTTGTCTTCACCTCAGAGAGTTTGCAGCTGCGTGTGATGTTGTGCTGTGATTTGCCAGAGATGAAATACAAAAAGAAAAAAAAAAAGAAAAGAAAGAAAAAGAAAAAAGCAGTACATCCTCTCCTCTCCAGCCAGCTGGAGGAAAGACTTGGAGGCATGTTCTCTTTCAAGAAGTGCTGAGAACTCGTGAAGTCTGCAGAGAAATGGCAGAAGGTGTCCTTTTCCTTGTCAGTTCCAATCAAGGTCTTCCCCTGAGCAACCCCAGCGTGTCTCGTAGTTTCCCGCATGAGCTAGGCAAGACACCTCTTGGCTTGAAAGGGCTTTGTTGTGATGCTGTGGGCTTTAAATTTGTCACCCTGAGGTCAGTGGTTCAAATCCACGCCTCACTAAAAGTTAAAGAGATAAAGGAACACATGCCTATGGAGAGCCCAGGAAGCGTGTAGTGAAACTCCGTTGGGGGAAGGGAATGCACTCATGTTTACATGAATATATGCAAACACACGCACACACGTGCGTACACACATGACCTGCATGGAAGCATCACAAGGCAATCAGTGTTAACAGCGGTTAATTCAGCAGATCACAGTCAGACTGAGAGTAGAGCCTAAGGCTTTGAGAACACAGGGTCCTGCTCAGATTAGAATCGTTGCGTTGATGAGTGTGGAGCTGAATCTGAGAGGGCATTTCCAGTCACAGCACTCTGCCAGGTTTCCTGGAACAAGGCTTGCACCTTCCCTGTGCCTGTGACTGAACCCCTGCACCCGGCCATCCTTACTCCATCAGCGATGCCTTTATCCCTCCCCTGTGCCCATGGCTGCACCCCTGCACCCGGCCATCCTCACTCCACTAGCAACGCCATTCCCTACTCCCAAGTCTTTATCTTTTTAAGTGTAGGAATCATTAAATATCAGTCTTTTCTGTCTAACACTGAAAAACTTCTACGACATGGCATTCAAATCTTTTTCAATTTTTTTTTTGTTTGTTTGAGACAGGGTTTCTCTGTGTAGCAGTCCTGGCTGTCCTAGAACTCACTTTGTAGATCTGGCCCGAGTACTGGGTTTAAAGGCCTGTGCCACCACCACCCAGTTTGCGTTTCAATCTTTTCGTCTCCCCAACCCTTTAAGACTTTCATGCAAATGTTTAATTCCCCACCCCCCAGTGAAACTTCATTTCCTATGATTCTTTTAAAATGAACTTTAGGGAAAGACTTCAAGGTCAGATCCCAGCTAGTGGAGGGAAAGACAGTCCTCTGTGTTAGATAAAAGCCAGGTGAACTTCCTGTCTAGGTTTGCTTGCTGGCCTGGTATGTGCTCTGGTGTACTCTTTTTGCAAAAAGAATTGCCCTGGTGAGCTACTTTTTCTTTGTGTATTCCTTTCCATGACACTGAAACTAGCCTGTGCTTCTAACAACTGTATGAAAAAAAAAATCCTGCTGTCCAACTCACTGTCTTTTGAAAATAATTTTCTTTTTTATAAAAGGGAACGAACAGGTGGGTCAGTGGTTAAGAGCACTCACTTCTATCCCAATGGCCCAGAGTTCAGTTCCTAGCACCCCAAGGAGGCTCACCACCAGCTATAACTCAAGTGCCAAAGGCTCTAACTTCCTTTTCTGGCCTCTGCAAGGCACTGCACACCACGTGATGCAGACATACACACCAGCAAAACACTCAGACACGTAAAATAAAAATAAATCTCAAAAAAATTATTTTAAATGTAGAGCTCAATAAAAAAAATCAATTAAAAAATATTTTAACCTACGAGTATGAATGTGTTCCTGCTTGTCTCTGTATGTGCACCGCATGCAGGCAATCCTGACGGTCAAAAAGAGGGCAGCAGATCCCCCTGGAACTAGAGTTCAGGCAGCTGTGAGCTATCCAGCGTGGGCACTGAGAACCAAACTCAAGAACCACTGGGCCATCTCTCCAGCCACTGAACACTATTTTCTAAGCACAAATGGGAATAGAAGATGTT